TGGGGGCGGGGCTTCAGGGAACGGTTGGGGGCGGGGGAGGTTTTGGCACTCCTGCTGGAGTATCTGTTTTTTCAATATTACAAAGCTGGCAGCCCTAAGTATCCCCTGCACGTTCAGGCTCTCGGTGCAGATCCTTCGTCTCCGTTTGTAAACAGGACACTATTTGTGGTCGACTCCAGCTGAAGGTTGGGTGGAAGCTGGGCTGAGGAGATTTAGTCTATTCAGGAAACAGGCCTTGCCAAAAAAAGCCCTTAGCAACTTCAAGTGATTTTATTGTAGACAAAATATCTGGGGATATAAACAGCCCCATCTGTGGTCTGCACTAAGTGATCCACTTGCCCTAGCAACACCAAAGAAATCACAGGTGCACCCAGCTACCGGCTTGTCCCACATTCTTCAAGGCTTTTTATTCTTAGCTTCGGAGGAAATGGTCCTAACTCGGCTAATGCTGGCAGCTGTGCGGCGCCACGCCTAGGGTGACACGTCCCCACCGTAGACGGACAGTCCCAAGAGTTGGGGCGTTTTCTTCTTTAGGCTCCTAATCCCTGCCAATTTTTGAGGAAGAAGGGGTCATGTGCAAAAGGGGGGTTTTGCGTGTACACGGCGCTTTTTTTGTGCAAAAACCTCGTCCACAAAAAGGATCAGAAAAGACTATGCAAATGAGAGTGTGAGATATGCAAATGAGCACTCCATTTGCATTTCCCCTTCCGGAAAACATTCGTAATGTAGCCGTAGCCCTAGTGTGGTTCACTGTCCCATGTAGTAGCACTTAGACCACGTACAGCGAGAGATAAGAAGTTAGTTCTACAACCTCAGCTGTGAGCCAGCTGGCTTTATAGCTTAAGCTGTAGAGGCTCCTACATTATATTCCAGAAGTTCTTGGTTCAAATTCACCTAGTGATGGTTGTATGAGCACCTTTCAATCATTAATGTATGTATCCTCACACCATCCTGATTGTCTCCTGAACACAGATGGGGACCAGAGGCGCTGAGCAGCTCAGAACCAGATTGTCAAAGGATTTCAATGAAAGTTTGTGACCCAGGGACTAAGTGACTTCCCCAACCTCACACAGGAAGTCAGTGGCAGAACTGGAAATTAAATGCTGGCAGAGCTGTCCTTAGGATTTATGAGGCCCTACACAGTGCTGCTAAACTCGTGCCCCTATGGCTGAGGGAGGGGGTAGTTTTTTAAAGCTGTGATTTTATAATCTGTAGCAACACACGAATGAAATATTTTTAAAGCAAATTTCAAAGGAAGGCCCTGTTGACTCTCCAAGTCAATTCAGAGAGGGGCAGTCTGTACCTCGTAGTGCTGGCCGACGTTGTCACTTTTCAGTCAACTAGATCCTCTCTGGAGGAAGCAGAGCCACAGAACAGGGAAAGGAACAGGCAGGTGGGTGGACTGTAAGACTCAGGGGTGACCCGACATTTTCTGGTGCCCTACGCAGCTGTGTATTCTACATATGGGTGAGGTCAGCCTTAGATGCTGGTCTTCCAGATCCAGGAGTAACCTGAACTATCCTTTCTCTCACTGCTTTTTATTTCAACAGCGGTCTCATCGAATTGAGCAGCAACCTCAGTTACATCTTAGAGCCAGTCCCCGACAGCCAGAATCGGCACCTGATCTACAGATCGGAACATGCCATGCTTCCGCAGGGGACCTGCGGCTCTAAGCATGCAGAACCCACAGCCCCCCACTGGCTCAACAAACAGCCCGGCCAGGCCACAATGCACCATCCCAGGGTGAGTAACAGAAGCCACTGGGTGCCCTTGTGCAGTGGGGGAAGAGTGGGAGACTGGTCAGGAAGGCAGCGATTGCCAGACAAGAAAAATGAATACCAACCATTAATCTCCATGGGGTTGTGTTGCAGGTGAAACGGGAGGATGTGCAGGCTATGAAGTACGTGGAGCTGCTGCTGGTGGCTGATTATGCAGAGGTAAGAGAAATGCGCCACATTGGTGTGGGCAAATCAGAGACGGTCCAGAAAAAAGCAACAAAAAGGATGGAAGTCTAGAGAACATGAGCGATGAGGGAAGACTGAAAGAATTGGGCTTGTTTAGTTTAGAAAAGAGAAGACTGAGAGGGGGACATGATAGCGGTTTTCAGGTGTCTAAAAGGGTGTTACAGGGAGGAGGGAGAAAAATTGTTCTTCTTGGCCTCTGAGGATAGGACAAGAAGCAATGGGCTTAAACTGCAGCAAGGGAGGTTTATGTTGGACATTAGGAAAAACTTCCCACCTGTCAGGGTGGTTAAACACTGGAATAAGTTGCCTGGGGAGGTTGTGGAATCTCCGTCTCTGGAGATATTGAAGAGCAGGTTGGACAGACACCTGTCAGGGATGATCTGGATGGGGCTTGGTCCTGCCATGAGGGCAGGGGACTGGACTCGATGACCTCTCAAGGTCCCTTCCAGTTCTAGGATTCTGTGATTTACACTGGCTGAGAACTGGGCCCATGACCGGTCTCTCTAGGGGCAGAACAGGTAGAGCCCAGACTGTGGCAGGGGCTGTGTTCCCCTGCCATCCCTGATGCAGAGGGACCCCAGGAGGGAGTGCAGAATGGGGTTCCACTTCCCTTCCCCCTGCGGTCTCTAGCCCCACGGAGGATACCTGGCAGGATGCTGTTTAGTACCAGTGAGAGGTGGGAAGGGTGATACGGACAATGTCTAGGTTTGAGACCACCCACTCATTTCAGGTAGGTCACTGCACAGACCTCAGAGATGTAACTACTGCCCGTCCTTGCAGGTCTGCACTGGCTACTCCTCAGTGACCTACAGTGTCTCAACAATCAGCATTCAGGAGCTGTTGGTCAGTTACACGGCTTCATGTTTACTGAGTGCACAGAGCTGTGCTCTCTGCTGGTTGTGACTTGGAGTTGCAGGGTTTCCTGGGGGTCCCGCAGTCTGCTCCCTGTCCCTTTCTGAAGAAATCCAGGCGGTCAGTCATTATCTCTGCTAGGATGTAGTGGTGGATGTAAAGGAAACTTTGCTGAGGTTTCAGCTGCTGCGAATGCACGCACTCCAGGACGCAGGCCTTCAACGCCATCCCAAAACCTGCCAATGCTTAGCTGATCATTTAATTATCAGCACAGAGTGGAGTAGGGAGGCCAGCTCTATTCAGGCAGTTACAACCTGATGCTAAACTCTCCCCGTCCCTCCGGGGCTATTGGCTGTAACATTCCGAAACACACCAGAGAGGCCGATTCTGGGCGCGTTGCCTGTTAGGCTCCAGGAGAGTGCGGAGACCGAGAAAATGCAGGCTTGCCAGATGCTCCTTGCTGTTTTCTTTAGTCAGCCCCTTGATGTGACCGATTGAAAAATGCCCCTTGTCCCATGAGAGCCCCCAGTCCGTTTGAAAAAAGCAGCCCTTGTTGTAACTCATTGCCAATATGTGACTCAAACATTATTTGCCAGGTGAACTCATTAATTTCCAGATGTTTTCAATGGGCCAAAAGTGATTTAAATGAAGTAAAGCAACTTTTCTTCCGGTCCAGTGAATGAGTTGTGGTACGAGCCTTCTGGGACAGGTGCTGTGGTTTTACCAATTCTGGGTATGAAGTTACCTTACCCTGTGCTTCAGATGAGGAAGTAGGTTTTGTCCACAAAAGCTCATGATACTCTCTGTATTTCTTTGTTAGTCTCGAAGGCTACGTGTAGACTACAAGCCTCTTTCAAAAGACAGCGTCTAGACTACAAGCAGATTTTTTGAAAAAGTGAGCTGCTTTTTCGAAAGAGAGTCTAGAGAGTACTTTCGAAAAAAGGCATTATTCCTCATAAAATGAGGTTTACCGTGATTGAAAAACCTGCTGTGTTCTTTCGATTTACTTTCGAAAGAACATGGCTGCAGTCGAAACGCAAGTAAAGATTTTTTGAAAAAAGGCCACTTTTTTCGAAAAATCCCTGTAGTCTAGACACACCCGAAGGTACAGGACTGCTCGGTTTTCACCCAGGATGAGTATGCATTACTTTGCAGTGGTGTTTTGCTACTGGCTACTGGCTGGGAGCACAGAGAGACGTGTTAAGAGATCTGGACACATGTACGTTTTCCTGTTGTGAATAGGGAGGTATACACAGAAGGAGGACTCCTGGGTACCACATGTGCATTGGTCTGATCATCACCTCTGCATTCTCATATAACATGACATGTTAAAAGGGTGTTAAGCTCTCGTCTGTTTTTAAAGGGCGATGCTGATTTTTGCTTGTTTCATTCAGTTCCAGAAGAATAACTACGACCTGCAAAGAACGAAGAATAAACTAGTGGAGGTGGCTAATTATGTAGATAAGGTGAGGCCAGGTGTGTCACTGGTAGAAAAGGAGCTGAAGTTGCAGCCAAACACACTTCCCTGAACTTCTTGTGCTAGGAGGGAGGCTATCCTTCTGGCAGAGGGAGTTCCCCAATGTCTCCTTCTCTTCGATGGCCGGGCACTATGGAGATTGGACGTCGTCCCTGGAAGAGTCACGCCGGGCACAGGCATTGGAGATGGGGAGCTGAGAGGGACTCCCCTTTCCTTACAAGGGCGTTAGCAAGAAAATCTCGATTTTTATTTTGAACCGTTTCTTCTCAAAGCTGAGTCATGGCGGGCGTTCTTCGCCGCTGGCTGCAAACTGCAACCATTCGCCACAAAAGGCCTCCAGTCCAGACTGTGATTTAGTAGGGTTTTGTAGAAGCTCTTCCCCTCACAGAGCTGAGGGCAGAACATGCTGCTAGGTGGGCAAATACCAGTCCGCAGGCCAGATCTGATCTACCAGGGTTAGCTCCTGGCGGGGCCCCACCACTGTATTTACCTGCACGGCTGCAGTTACCAGTGATTGCAGCTCCCATTGGCTGCCTGTGGCTGTGCAGGTAAATATAGCAGCAGCAGCCCATATCTCGGCGAACCACCGCTGTGTTATTGCCCACCCCTAGGTGTGCTAGGAGGCCACTTTCCTGGAACTTACAGCTCTAATGGTATGGAATTCACATATTTTGCATGGTTTCTATTCATCATTTAAAACAAGGATGAAAAAAAGCAGCAATCCACTGACCGGCTCTTTCCTCTGCTCTCTGTGCATCATCTAGTTTTACAAGTCCCTGAACATTCGGGTTGCCCTGGTGGGGCTGGAGGTCTGGACCGACGGAAACAAGTGCGAAGTCTCCGAGAACTCCCGTTCCACCCTTTGGTCCTTCCTCACTTGGCGGCGCAAGTTGCTAGCCCACAAAAAGCATGACAATGCCCAGCTGATCACGTACGTTGCTTTTCCAGGGATACCACGGTCCCTCTGCCCAAGGAATCTGGGGACAAGGCGTGAAGTCAGTTTGTCACAATAGATCGAGCTGAGATTTTGGGTGGCAGGTTTTCTATGGTGACTCTCAAGCATCCGTCAGAGAGATAAGCCTCTAGCTAGAATGCATTCGTGGGGTGGGAGCGGTAGAAAGGTGCATACGCTTGCAAGCGCCCAGTGGGAAGTGGTCACGGTACATACGCAATGAAGTGGGAATTCCCGTTATTGTGCATGCATAAGGCGCATGCCAATGCGTGTGCATCTTTGCATGCACACTTCTCTGAAGCTCTGGGCCCCAAGCCAAAATGTGCAGACTTCACTCTCGGGCACTCGGCTCATCCTGGGACAAAGCCCTGGGTTTGCGAGTGTGTCATTCTGTGCTTGGACCTTTGTGGTGCACGGTGCTTGGAGCTGGCTGATGACTCCTTCTGCTGATCTGACTAGTGCCACTGGATACGGTGCCAGCAAGATGGGCTCATTTGCAGCAGCGTCCTGGGCCTGCGAGGATTCCTCCATTAGCAGGTAGTGGGAAGTGAAGCAGGAGCCAGTGAAAAGCAAATGCAGCATCTTTTCTGCTGTGCTTTTCATAGACAGATTCACCACAATTGTTTTTCATTCTGTCCCGGGTGTCCGGGTGGGCCTGACTCCCCACACCACCAATTAGACCCTAAAGACTTGGACAGGCGTAGTAGCATTCTAGGTCACTGGGGGCTCCTTAAATCAAAGCACTGAGCCAATAGATGGAGACCTGGAATATGTCAGTCTAAATTCCAAAGCATGGCCTCAGCATGCCCTGGGCTCCGGATTAAGCCTGGGGTGGCTTTTCCGTGGACAATCTCTTGTGTGCACGTTCCAACGTGTAGGAAGTCAGTAATCATACAGGAGCACCACCGGGCCATTCCCAGCAGTCAGATTAGCTGCACTGTCCAGACGGCTTGCTCGTGGTACCAGGTGAACGTCTGGCTCTAAAAGAGCCATGGTGGCACTTAGAAGCTCAGCTACGAAGCTGGCAGGAAGGGTTTTAATGAAGAAGCCGTTTCCTGTGGTCTGATGTAAATTCAGGGGGTCTTGACCTGCACCCAGCATTTATCTCTCCAACCCCTCCGAGCAGAGCTCTGTCCCATTTCGTTATTTCTCTGGATTTCTTTCAGTGGGACGCCGTTCCAGGGCACCACCATAGGGGTGGCACCTCTGATGGCCATGTGCTCCGATTTCCAATCTGGCGGGGTGAACATGGTAAGAACTAATTGGCCATTTCCTGTGTGTAGCAAGTACATGTGAGAGCTGCCTCCCAGAAAACCAGGACAGAAAATGATTCTCAATGTCTATATCCAGCCTTCCCTTACATAAGCAGCTACAGGCCGCCCCAGGTAACAGTCCTCCCAGCAGGCTCCAGGGATCTCATTAATCCCGGACACACACAGTCCCAACAAAACATGGGTGGGGAGAAAATGGAGGTCGCAGGAGCTGAAACTGGAGCACTTGTGCGTGGAAAACAAGACTCGATGACTTCAGTCTTGGGTGCCAGCTATCCAGCACATGCTGCCACCACCGCTGGCATGTAAAAGGCTACTTTTTAAATACTGGGGCCTAACGATAAACAAGATTACATTTAAACCAAATGTAAAGGCCTGTTATACATCATTATGGCCCAGACACGACGTGCCTCAGGCCAAGCCTACACTAAAGGGGAAGATCGAAACAAGGTACGCAACTCCAACTACGTTAATTATGTAGCTAGAGCTTGCTATGTGATCTCCACAGCAGGAGGTTGACAGGAGCAAATACTCCCATTGGCTTCCATTACTCCTTGCACAAGCAGGACTGCCGGCTGCCAGCGGGGGTGCCCTCTGAGTTCGATTTAGCACGTCTTAACTAGACGCGCTAAATCAAACTCCGGAAGATCAATCGCTGTGGATATAAAGCAAATATGCACGAATTTGCAGGGCACTATTCATTGCCAGTCGGCCACTTTGCAACAGACACCTGACACTGACAGAGATGGGCCTGTAAAGTCCAGCTCAGGATCTAAACTGCCCCATCGTACAGGCTGCTCTGGCTGAAAACGCACTTCTCTGCCAGTGCTGTGCGCTCAGCAGGGGTGGAGGTGAAACGCTGACGCTGCTCTTTGATTCTGGCCAGGACCACTCGGACAACGCCATCGGCGTCGCTGCCACCATGGCCCATGAGATGGGGCACAACTTCGGCATGAGCCACGACTCGCCTGGCTGCTGTGCAGCCCGGGCTGAAGACGGAGGCTGCATCATGGCCGCTGCGACGGGGTGAGTCGTGCTTGTGTTTCCTTCTCTCAGGCACACAAACTTAGCTGTGTCCGGAGAACCCCTGCGAAAGGGGCTCATTGAATGCAGCACAGAGATGGGACGAGCAGGGTATGTTGCCTGTGTAGCCCAGAGGCACTGGGACCACTACACGGGAGAGTAAACTCTGCCCTACAGCCTCAGCTACAGGCCAGAGGGCTTTTAGCTCATGCAGCAGGGACTCATGGCTTTAGCCCCCGGAGGTCATAGGTTCAATCCCCCCTTGCCGATAGCCAGTGTCCATTGATTTTACACACGTAATAGGTTTTAGAGACACCACTCCATGGAAAATGGGGTCACATGGCAGGGGCAGATAGTTTAATTCCCAGTTTAAATTAAACTGCCCCTTAGCAAATGGCCAAGCCCAGGGAAAGGCAGGGGTCAGCCAAAGTATTTGCGGGAGTGTGGCCCCCGCAGCAGGAGTCTGATCTGGCTTAGTTGCATGTGCTCTGTATGTAAAATACCCCTCATGGCGTTAAGTACTTGCACCTGTATAGTGGCTGGGCTCATGGGCAGTAGGTAATGCAGGCAAGGGAAGGCATTGCCCTCCCAAAACTGCCTACACTGCCCAGCCACCTGGGAGGGGCTGGGACCTTGCTTGGGGGACGGAAAGGTGGGGCGAGAGGCATGGTCTTGAGGGAAGGGGTGTGGTTTTGGGCAGAAAAGATGGAACTTTGCTTGACTTCCCCAGCTGGGCCTTCACCCATCGTCGGGATCATGTGTCCACACAATGTGGTAACCAAGGGCTTGTTGGAGACCATCAAAAGGCACAGCTACACGGCCGTATTTCTAAGCCGTATTTGTTACCTGGGTTGGACATTGCCTGTTATGAGCGTTTTGTTAAGAAAACTCCTCCTAATGGCAATTCACTGGGCACCCTTAGGCTATGTCTACATTGTAGCCTTCTTCCGCAAAAGCTTATGCAAATGAAGCATGGAGTGGAATATTGCCACACTTCATTTGCATAATTAATTAGGGGCTGTTTTTGTGCAAGAGGCTTTTGTGCAAGTCAGCTCCTTTTTGCCCAAAAAACCCCTCTTGCACAAGAGCTGTTCTTCCTCATATTTTCAACTAAAGCCTCTTGCGCAAAAAGGGCTGCTAATTAATTATGCAAATGAAGCATGGCGATATTCCACTCCGTGCTTCATTTGCATAAGCTTTTCTGGAAAAAGGCTACAGTGCAGACGTAGCCTTAATGGGTTAATAGTGTCAGAGGGCAGTTTTGTCTTGGAAGCAGTGTGCAGCAAATGGATTTGGTCCGTGCTCTTCTCCTATTTCAAGTGAGGGGTGACATGTCTGTCTTTCAAAGAAAGGGGACTGCAGGCCCGAGGGGAAGAGGAAGGAAGAGAGAGAGCGTAAACCCCGGGGGATTTTAGGATTAATTTTTCATGAGGAACAACAGGGGGTTCCATGTTTCTTGAGACACACAAAACCATTAGCTCTGCCCACCTCCCTTACAGCTACTCTCCCTCGTATTATAAAAAAATTTACTCCTTAGGTCTTTAGAAGAGTTTCTAGAAGTTCTAGACCTGGGCTTTGTATTAATTAAAACCCCTAATTCCTCCCACACACACTCCTCACCCCCTTTTTACTGAAAAGAAACAAACCTGTCATTTAACCAAGAACATTTTAAGTTGCTTAAGCTGATCTTTAAAATGCCTTGTTTTGAAGTCATTGAGTTTTCACAAAGAAAAATATCCAGTGGGAAAGAGGCAGTGTATTGGCATGCGTATACACACACAACCTGCAAACAGATGCAACATGTATGTGCCTGCCTGTGTGTGTCTAACATACCTAAGGTGAACAAGTAGGAGTACACATACACCTCCCCCCCAAGAGGAAATGAAAAAGCTTTGAAACAGAAGCCATACGTAAACCCATTCCACTTGCTGTTGGGGTTGGGGGGATTACACCTTTTTATCAGTCAGGTTGACAGCCAGTTATTCAGTATCAAGTGTTAGATTCTAAAAGCCACTCTAACAATGAAGAACAAGGTCTTAGAGGGGGAAGCCGTGTTAGTCTGAAACTTACAAAACAAGTAGTCCAGTGGCACCTTAGAGACTAACAAAAATATATATAATATTGTGAGCTTTTGTGGGCAAAACCCATTTCTTCAGATGATAAGTCAGAGTGAAACAGAACCAAGATATTTATAACAGGGAAGAGATAGGAGGACCTGTTGATTGTCAGACTGGTGCTAATGAAGCTAGTTAAGTGGGCTGGAAATGTCCCATTCTTAGGTTTCGATGTGAAAATGCAGTTGTTAGGGGCAGGCAAGACTGACTTTTTAATGTATAAAGAAGCCATATGGCATGGATCTCCTGGGGCACTGTGTATGTGGATACTGGGTTTTAGTCTTAAAATGTTTATTGCGAACTCCTTGGAGGGGGTGGCTGCTTTCCCAGGAGAGAGGAGGCATCAGAGCTGAAATCTAAACTCCTTGCCAGATGAAACCTCGATACGAAACCTGGAACCTTGACCCTGAGCGTGACCACACAGGCCAAATTCAGCCTTCATGCCGCTACACTAAGGGCATCTCCAGAGCAGGAGCGGTAGTGCTACCTGTGCAAGGCAGCGTTAGGCCACTGATCTCCTCTAATGCGATGCTCTTCTGATCTGCAGGCACCCGTTCCCCAAGGTGTTCAGCCCGTGCAATAGGAAGGAGCTGGACAGGTATCTGCAGTCGGGTGGAGGGATCTGTCTCTCCAACATGCCAGACCCTGGTACTTTATACGGAGGGAAGAGGTGCGGAAATGGGTACTTGGAAGACGGAGAAGAATGTGATTGCGGAGAAGTGGAGGTAACTGGCGCTGAGATCTAATTGTGTGAGGTGGGGAGAAGTGACATGAGTGCTAAGCACCCGAGAGGCCCACCCGCCCATGATACGCATGTAACCCACACACCACCTAGTGTGGTTCACTGTCACATGCAGTGGCACCTAGACCACAGTGACAGATAAGAACAAGAGACCTCTACAGCCTGGGTTGAGTGCCAGCTGGCCTTTAGCTCAAGGCATGTCTAGACTTCTGGGGGGTTTTTAGAAAGAAGATATGCAAATTTGGTGCTAATTTGAATATGTTCTTCCGATTGCATTTTTGAAAGTGAGTCTTTCAAAAGTGGAAGTAGTTTGGACGTGGGTTTTTTTTCAGAAAAAAACCTCCTTTTTTGAAAAACCGCACACATCTCCTTTTTTTAGGAAGAAAGTTTTTTTGGGAAAAGGTTTTTCCCCTATTTTAGAGAGAGAGGTGGGGTAAAAAACTATGTAAACAAATAAATAAATAAATATGCAAATTAGCACCAACTTTGCATATCTCCTTTGGAAAAAAACCCCACAGTCTAGACATGCCCTCTGGGGTAAAGGCTCCTATACTAAAATCCAGAGGTCCCAGGTTCAAATCCCCCAGGTGACGGTTACACGTGCTCAGCTTGGGTAGGTGCAGGAGGTGTGTGTGTGAGGGACAATTACCATGGGTGCAATTGTAACCCACACACCTGCTGAGGGTGGTGCACTGTCCCATGGAGTAGCACTGAGCTCTCTTACAAAGAGAAAGTGAGTTTGCTGCGTAGCCTTAGCTGGGAGCTGGCTGGCTTTTAGCTCTACCTGTAGAGGCTCCTGCACAGAACTCCAAGGTTGTGTCTAGACTGGCAAGTTCTAGACTTGCCAGCTGTCTACACTGGCTGCTTGAATTTCTGCAAGAACACTGACTTCCTACTGTCTGAAATCAGAGCTTCTTGCGGAAATACTATGCTGCTCCCGTTCGGGCAAAAGTCCCTTTTGCGCAAAGCTTTTGCGCAAAAGGGCCAGTGTAGACAGCTCAGATTTGTTTTGCGCAAAAAAGTCCCGATGGCGAAAATGGCGATTGGGGCTTTTTTGTGGAAAAGAGCGTCTAGATTGGCACGGATGCTTTTCCACAAAAAGTGCTTTTGCAGAAAAGCATCCGTGCCAATCTAGACGCTCTTTTCCGCAAATGCTTTTAATGGAAAACTTTTCCGTTAAAAGCATTTGCGGAAAATCATGCCAATCTAGATGTAGCCTAAGGGTCCCAGGTCTCTGGAGCTTACTGCTTAGGCTATAAAACCAGCCGGCTCCCAGCAAAGGCTGTAGAGCAAATTCTTTCTTCTCTCTCTAGGTGGTGTAGGTGCCACCCCCGGGACAGTTAGTGTGTGAGTTACAGCATGTCCATCAGCGTGCAAAGTTCTTTAGGGAGACCTTGTCTGACTGTATGTACAGCACATAACACATTACATCCCTAACCCTCACAGGGACCTCTGGGGGGCTATCATCATGCAACTAGTTATGGTGTATTTGTGACATGGTAGCTAAATAGGCTGTATCCCCCTCTAGTGGAGGATGTACAGAGAGGATAAGAGTCTACTACTGATACCAGTAAATGGAGTAATACCTGTAGCTCAGGTGACAAGAGTTCTGTGCTGAAGATGTAAGGATTATACCCTGCTGATGCACCCTGCAGGAGTGGTTATGCATTCAGCAAAGCTTTTGGCCAAAGGCATGTGCAAGGAATATCCAGTATGCACGCAGGGAGGAGACATGTATGGAGAGCATGCAAGCTATGTTCATGCCGGATGCCTGTATCTTTCTATATTTGGCATAAACACTTACCACTGACGGTATTTTAAAAACCAACCCAGAATGGTTAGTCTGTGTCAATAGACAAAGGATATAAATAAGAAAAGCATTTGCCTTAGCAGAAGGATGGGAGTTCAGTGTATTAAAGACTGTTAGCTTATTGGACAGAGCACTGGTCTCGCTTCTATTCCTGGCTCTGCCATTGGCCTGCTGGATAACCTTATGCAAATCAGTCCATGCCTCGGTGTCCCGACCTGTAAAATGGGGTGAATGCTAGGGGGGGATGAAGTGCTTGAGATCTACCGAGAAGTGCTTTGTAAGAGCCAGTTCTGAGTACACCAGGTGCCCTCTCGAGGCAATGGCTCCTCCAACCTGGCGCTACAAGATGGTTAATCTAGGTGTGTAGACTGAACACCCCACAAAATGTGCACTGAGTCCTAGAGTTCAGAGAGTCCAGAGGCCTCTGGTCTGACCTAATGCAAAGCAGGGGAGTCACCGGCAAAATGCAAAGCCAGAAGTAGGTTCGGTTTTGAAGCAGCCCCGAAGTTCAGGCATCTGGAATCCGGGATCCATTTGAGCCCAGCTCCAAAGCCGACGAAGGGGGGGCGAGGCCTCGCTGGCCTCTCCTGCCCTGTTGTTGGCCCATCTGGCTGTCATGATCATGGGCTGCTGCACTGCGAAGCTCGTCAAGTCACCTCCTTCCGGTCTGTGCCTCTCCGTGTTGTTCTCCCTGGATGGGAGGGGGCCTCTTGCGGCCAGCAGCCCAGAGCCACCAATCGAAATGCACGCAGCATGAGTAACTGTCCATTCGTTAGCGGGGCGGGGGGGCAATAGCATACAACTGCCAGCAGGGACGTCCCTAGGGTGGGTGGGGTCCGGGGCAACCCCTCCCCCCCAGTGTCTGAGGTGTGGGACAGTGGGCAGCCTTCGCCCCACCTCTGCTCCAGCCTCACCCTGCCCTGCCCCCTTGCTCAAAGCCCCCTCCTCCAAGCAACGTGAGCAGGAGAATCTTGGGGGATGGGAGGGCACCAACAGCCCTCCCCCCACCCCCCTCAAGTACTCACTGCAGTGGCAGGAGCCGGAGCACAAGTCCATAAGAACGGCCAAACTGGGTCAGACCAAAAGTGCATCTCGTCTATATCCTGTCTGCCGACAGTGGCCAATGCCAGGTGCCCCAGAGAGAGTGAACAGAACAGGGAATCATCAAGTGATCCCTCTCCTGTCATCCATTCCCAGCCCCTGACAAACAAAGGCTAGAGGCACCATCTCTACCCATCCTGGCTAGTAACCATTGATGGACCTGCGTGATCCCTCTCCTGTCATCCATTCCCAGCCCCTGACAAACAAAGGCTAGAGGCACCATCTCTACCCATCCTGGCTAGTAACCATTGATGGACCTGCCCTCCATGAGTTTATCTAGCTCTTTTTGGAATCCCGTTAAGTTCTGGCCTTCACAATATCTTCTGGCAAGGAGTTCCACAGGTTAATCAAAGAATCATAGGGTTGGGAAAGCCCTCAGGAGGTCATCGAGTCCAGCCCCCCAACTGTGTGTTGTGTGAAGAAACACTTCCTTTTGTTTGTTTTAAACCTGCTACCTATTAATTTCATTCAGCAAATCCCAGTTCTTATGTTATGGGAGCGACCCGACCGCCTGCTCCGTTCTGCTGCGTGGCAGTCAGCTGCTGTTGGGAAGCAGAGTGTCCTAGGGCCGGGGCGCTCGCTTCCTGCTTCCACAATGACGCCGAGCGCAGCCGACGGGAGATGGGTGGCAGTGCAGAGCAGGTGGCCGGGTTGCTTCAGCTCCCACCGCAGCAGTGTGTGGGGGCTGCCATCGTGTGCCAGGCCCCTCCCCACAGGAACCCCAGGCCACTCTGGGCTCCATCCATAGGACGGCTGCCACGGCTGCTGTGGGCTTCCCCGTGAAGCACGGGGCTGCCACCCTGGACCGTTCAATGGCTCTGGCAGTGCTGCAGCAAGACCAGGGCAGGGATTTCTGGAGGGGCCAGTGGCGCTGATGGTGCAGGGAGAGGAAGGCCAGCAGATGCTCTGGGTCCTCAAGAGGGGGAGAGCCGGCCGGCCACCTGGGCATGTGGGTGTGCTCAGCTCCGTCTGCACATCAGCCTCCTCGACCCCGCGCGTCTCTTCTTCCTCTCCCTCAGGACTGCAGGAATCCCTGCTGCAACGCCGCTGACTGCTCCCTGAAACCCGGCGCCGAGTGTGCTCATGGGACCTGCTGCCACCAGTGCAAGGTTGGGCCCTGTCGCACCTTCCCCTGCGAGGCGCTGCTGGACCTGGGGAGGGGCAGGGGGATGCAGACGGAGAGAGGAGCAAGGGCCCCAAATTGAGGCCTTGGCTCCTTTCTCCAGTGATTTGAAAAGACGCGAATAACACTGTTTGGATTCTCTCCCTCATGCCGGTGCATCTTGCTTATGCCCCCTGGTTCACCCCCACCCCTCCGGCGGCTTGGATTTATCACTGTCAAATGCTTTACGGCTTGTATATAACCCGCGTGTTTTCAGTACAGGAGCCTTCTCCTAGACCAGTATCCCCCCCTCCAGTCCAAAGGCAACAGGTATCCTGGTGGTAGGCACCACCCAGACACCGACCGAAAGCTCCCTGCTCCCCCAGAGTCCTGGCCATGCTCTAGGGAGAGTTTCCCATCCCAGCCGCCTGATTTTGGGCCTGCAATCAACAGTGGGGCCAACAGTGGGGGGAGGGAGGGAGAAGTCCAACAAGCTCATCTCGCTCAGGAATGAGACATCTGCGTTCGTCGCCGCTTTGCTCGCTGCCCGTCACCGGCTTTGGGCACAGAGGCAGAGGCTGTCTTTGACGCCAGCGCCTTCTACGGTTTGCTTTGAGAAATGCGGAGGAAGAGGAGGGAGCAAATCCAGGCTTCTGTACCGACTCCCGAGGCCCTAAGCTTGTCAGCAATATCGGCCAAAGATCTTCCAGAGTGAGGCGTGGTTTGGGGCACCCATTAATGGGGCTGGATTTTCAGAGCCTGGGTGCTCAAAGAACTGCTCTTGGGGTACCTAATGCTGGGTCCCCAACAGTGAAGAGAGACAGTATGTCTAGCCCAGGGGTTTTCAAACTAGGGGTCGCAACTCAGCACTGGGTAGTGGAATGTCGGGCGCTGGGTCTCATTGCTGCAGGGGGATCAGTGACCAGTGGGGGGGCTAAGACAGCTGGCCTGGTACCACAGACTGTGCTGCACCCCAAAAGCAGCCAGCAGCAGGCCTGGCTTCTAAGTTGGGGGGCGGAGGAGCGCACAGGGCTCCCCTCACTGCCCCTGCCCAGAGCACTAGCTCCGCACTCCCATTGGCTGGGAGCCTGCTGCCGGCTGTTTCTGGGGCAGCCTGGTCTGCGGTGCCAGGAGAGGCAGGAACCTGCCTTAGCCCCCCCGCTGCACCACTGACAGGGAGCCGCTCAAGGTAAGTCACTCCTGCCCCAGCCCAGCCCCCCCTCAAGCCAAAGCCCCCTCTGACAGCCCAAAGCTCCATCCTCAGCCCCACCCCGCAGCCCACACTCCAGTCAAATTCTATTGAGTCGCAGCATCAACGATTTTCTTCAACTGGGTCATGGGAAAAAAAGTTTGAAAACCGCTGGGCTAGTCGTCTTTGCAATTCTTTGTTGTCTGTAAGCCTGGGATTTCAGTGCATGACGCAGGTTAGTTCATCGCTCCATCCCCATGTGGTATGACGCGTCTGATCGCCTTGTGCAGAGCGGCAGTTAAATTCAGACCCTGTCCGTTGGTTACCGCCTGTAGCCTGTCCCATGAGCCGTGGAGTGAACGCTGCAGACTTTTGCAATTTAAAACCACGTGCAGTCTAAGCAGCGGAGAAGTCACTGTTTCCTTCCCTTCTCTTCCACCTTCCATCCCCTGGGGAGACTCGTGCCATCTATTCTTGCTTGCACTGGTGCCGGGCTGTGAGCACCAAGGGTTAATCCACATCAAGGGCTAAGCTGTTTCCAAGAAGACAACTGGCACAGCAGGGCTGAGCATGCCGGTTCCCTGGTTGATTATGTCACCAGCTTATTGACCTTTTGGGGGTTACGCCATTGGTTGCTGAAAGAAGGAAACTGGATCCAAGGAGAAACCTGCACATGAGAGCAAGGAGCATTTTCCTCATGGAGATTAGACTGGATGTTGGCTTTTAACCTTCTAGTGCACAGTTTAGTTCCTCTAGCTCAGCAGCTAACTGGAGACACTCCAGGCTGCAGGGTGTGCGGTGGTGTCTGGATCCCGCAGGTCAGAATAGTCTGGTTGTCTAAACTCCTTCTGAGCCTGGGTGTAGAGGTCTGGAGTTCTGCTGACAACGCCCTGGGCTGGATCAGTGGGTGTAAACTCTGCCGCCAGGGATCACTTATGTTCAACGCAGGGGATATGAGGAGGACTGAAGATGTGTGTAAATATATAAATACACTTGCAGATTTACCCGGCATTGCTCAGGTTCTTACTTCAATTAAGTTTTTTAATAAAAGGAAAATGTGCATGCTTTATTGAAAGGATGGCATTTTTCAAACATAGTGTTATTTTTATGAAGTTAATTTTTATTTCAGATTTCTTTTAAAAAGGGGATTGTTCAAATTTTTCTGTTGAATTTTTTTTGGTAATTTTAAAAAAAATGGGAAGTCCATCAAGTGTATTTTTTCTTCATCCCTATAAACTCTTATCATTTGTTGTGTTTTTAAAAAAAGGGCTATAGTCAATTTGGTTTCCAATAACATTTTCTTCTAGTTTTCAAACCGTAATCATTGATTTATCTGGGCCAAAACAGAGCACTACTCCACATTTCTCCATTTTATCTCTTTTCTGTAAGGGTCATTGAGAACCAATCCTATTCCAGGTTGATCCTATTTTTCTGGCTCATCTTGGTTCAGTCTCTTTCAACATTCCCTGGGTTATATTAGTTTTGAAGAACGTCCTTGATTTGCTGATTCTGTCTCTTTTCTGTATAGTTTTATGAGAAGCAATCCCATTCCAAGCACATCCCATTTTTCTGGCACAACCAAAACCTGTTATGTTTATGTTTGTGCTTTAAGTTAAGCTCAAGAGGAAGCTGTACACCAAACTTGGTGGTCCTGGCTCCTACCCTGTAGGAGGAATTCTTGAACAGACAGACAAACTCTAAAATATGTATTAGATGTTGAGCAGAGCCCTCTATTGGAATGACCCGACCGCTTTTCTCAAGTCACAGTTCTGCTGTCTTGTTAGATCTTGTGGGAACAGGTCTCTAGTTTTGGAGCCCAACTTCCAAACTCAAAGCCCCGCAGCTGTCTCTATCTGAGTGACGAGAGGCAACAATTTTCACGCTAGCTCACTTCCTGGAAAAGATGTTGTGCACAATCGTCTTGTAGTGACATTATGCCCATAACAACCTCTCTGGGTTCCCAGCCATGCTGCCCGCGAGGAGAGATTCAACTGCATCACAGCACTGTACTTTGCCCACCTCATGTTCACCAGTGGTAGGGAAGGGCTCAAACAAACAAACTCGCTTTTGAACAAGTCTTAGCTAGTTATTGAGGGTCAATTGAGGTGTCGGTGGCTAAGACGAAGAGATGAGGGATGGCTGGATTAGACAGTTTGTCGGGTTTTTTACCATAGAGAAGCAAAACCCTGTTGCAGTCAAGCAAGAAGAAATCCATCGGTGTGGGAAGTAAGAGTATAGAACCCCATAGTTTTGCACCCGGCTTCCCCACACCCAAGGGCCGGCCATCCACTGGCGGTCAATTGAGGTGTCGGTGGCTAAGACGAAGAGATGAGGGATGGCTGGATTAGACAGTTTGTCGGGTTTTTTACCATAGAGAAGCAAAACCCTGTTGCAGTCAAGCAAGAAGAAATCCATCGGTGTGGGAAGTAAGAGTATAGAACCCCATAGTTTTGCACCCGGCTTCCCCACACCCAAGGGCCGGCCATCCACTGGCTCTGCCAGTCCCCAACCAGGTGGCCCCTTTGGCCTCCCACCAGCCCTGCTGGCTTTGCCACCCACTGGGATCCTCCCACCCACCCTCCCCTTGGGCTCTGCAGTCTGCTGCCCCCGTGGTGCAGGCCACCGGCCCAGGAGGCTCCGCTGCTACCTGGGGTCCTGCTGCCAGCCCAGGACTCTGCTCCCAGCCTCAACCCAGGGCCCCACAGCTGCCTCCTGTTATGCTTAGGTGGCCAAGTCTCCCAGCCAGACTCTACTGTGTCTGGTCCATCCAGTCTGGGAGAGTTGGTACCTCTAGTTGTGGCCCAAGCCTGGGGCAGTGAGAGGTGCAGCTCAGTCCCTCCTTCTTAAAACAGCTCTGGTGCCACTAAAATCATCCCTGATTTTTTTCCCCCTTCCATCTCTTCAGCTGGTGGCTCCAGGAACTCTCTGCAGGGAGACCTCTGGACCCTGTGACCTGCCAGAACACTGCACTGGCAAGTCAGCCTTCTGCCCCGCCAACTTCTACCAAATGGACGGGACGCCGTGCGCAGGGGGGCGGGCGTACTGCTACGTCGGCATGTGCCTCACGCACGAACAGCAGTGCCTGGAGCTCTGGGGGCCGGGTAAGGAGAGCCTCTTCCAGAGCAACAGGCTCCGTGGCCAGATGGTCTATGCGAGACTGAGCGTCTGCTTTAGATGGTGATTGTTGTTCTCCTGAGACGCACAAAGGACAGGAGGGGAAACAGAGGCACGAAGAGGCAATATGACGTGCCCAAGGTCACACAGCAGCACAGCAGGTGCTCCAGGAATTTGCTCTAAGTCTCCTGTCTTGTAGGCCAGTGCTCTGGATGCTAGAGGATGCTGCCTCCCCATAACAATCTCCAGCAGTGGCCAGGCAGGGCCGAGGAATAGGGCAGGGGTCGCACACAGAAGCTTGTACTGCCTCTGCCCTTGTTTATCGGACAACAGATGCAACAGAGGACATGGTCTATGTCTATGGTGACAGATTCTGACCTCACAAGCACAGAATTTTGAGTGTACCATGTGACTCAATGGAAGCCAATGGGGCTGGAGGGAAGTACCAATGCAAATGCTGGTACAAATATATCAGTGACAGCCAGAAAGCTCCAGCTGTGCTCAGCATTCCGGCCATTTGTTACATCCCTAGGGGGCTGCCCTCCAGCAGAGGACTGGTCCCCGACCACCCACTCTGCTGGAAAACCTCAGCTGCAGTGCTCACAGGGCAGAAGTAGCAAATAGGTTCTCCCCCGTCAACTTGTCGGGAAAGAAGGAATAAGTGCAGGGTTTGAGGTAGCCACCGCTTCTCCAAGAGTCAGTCGCACCCGTCTCTTCCACACAGGAGCGAGGCCCGCCCCTGACCTGTGCTTTGAGAAGGTTAACGCTGCCGGGGACACCTATGGGAACTGTGGGAAGGATCCCTCCGGCACGTACAGGAAGTGTGAGACAAGGTAGGAGGCAGAAGGGCAGCTCTTACTTGCTAGTAGAGAAGTGATGTTTCCATACCCTGCTAAGATACAGGCCACCAGAGGAAAGCAAACTACCCTCTGCTGGTATTAATACCCTCTCCCTGCAGCCAGTCCTCCCCTATCCCAGTTCGATCTGTGCCCTTCTTTATGATACAGGTTGAATCTCTCTAGTCCGGCGCCCTCGGGACCTGACTGGTTCCGAACGAGAGAATTTGCAGGACCAGAGGAGGTCAATATTGTCTAGCAGCATTACCAACACTTCCGCTGCTTACTGGGCCCCGAGAAGACATTCAGGGGTAAATTAGAGCTAAATAACAGCACAGAACACTGAGGGTATGTCTAGACTACAGGGTTTTGTCGACAGATACTGTCGACAAAGCTTCTGTTGACAAAGAGCGTCTAGACGACATCCAGTTCTGTCGACAAAGCAAGAACTCTGTCAACAAAAGGCGTTATTCCTCGTAGAATGAGGTTGACATACGTCGACAAAACTGCTGAGTTTTGTCGACCTTATGTCGACATAACTCAAAGGCAGTGTGGACGCAGGTATAGTTTTGTCGACAAAAGTCCACTTTTGTGGACAAAACCCTGTAGTCTAGACACACCCTGAGAGCCAGGACTGGGGGCTGAAAACAAACTTTTTGGGACCGCGGGAAACTTGGCTACACCCATGATAAATGGTCATCCGGCTCACTAACATCATGCCAGACCAGTTTCTGGACCAGAGAGTTCTGAACTAGAGAGGTTCCACCTGTAGTAGCATTGCTAGCTATGTGGGCAGCTGGCAGTTTCTCAAATATAAAGATTTTAACCAAAAACCCCTCTGAATTTTGAAGAAAAAAGGCTGAGATTGCTACCATCCCCCCCCACTTCTCAAACAACTGTCGAGCTGGTTTTTTATTCCAACAGTAAACGGAGGAGGAAATTTTTGTTTCCCGTTATTCGTCCAGGCCCAATATTTATAACAGCTAAAAGGCAGCTTCCTGTTTATCTCCGTGGCCGTCCATTCTTAACCCAGGTTGGGGCGAAGTGCCCTGCAATCTGGCCTGTTTATGACACAGATGAAATGGTGACCAGTGGGCCTGTCTCCTTAGGATTGTTCCTTTAGATGGCTCGGAGTGGCTATTGCCAGGGAGCCAAAGAATGCTATTGTCTTGCTGTGAGCTCAGAAATGGGTCGGTGCCTCCCTCAAATCTGTTCATTTTAATGTGAATATTCTTAATCTTGTGGGGATAAAGTGGAGATGTTAAGCAGAAGGCAGGAGGCGACCTGCTTTCTTGTCGCCGCTTTTCCAACAGAGATGCAAAATGCGGGAAGATTCAGTGCCAGAGCTCGGCTTCCAAACCACTGGACTCCCGGGCTGTCCCGATAGACACAACGATCCAGGTGAAGGGAAGGCAGATCCAGTGCCGGGGGACCCACGTGTACGGTGCTGAAGAGAGCGAAGGGGATATGCTGGACCCTGGCCTGGTGATGACAGGAACGAAGTGTGGGGACAATCACGTAGGTCCTGGCGTGTACCACGGTGCTGTTGGGTGGGGCGGGGCTTTGCCAGCTGGAAAATGTTCTGGGATGCTTCAATTCTTTCTGGAGAATTTTTACCTATGTCACGGGAGCAGCTTCCTACAGCACAGCTTCTGTGGGCCTGCTGAGAGAGAACACTCTATCCCTAGCAGGTTACCTGCTACACCAGGGGCTGGACATGAAGTCTGCGGAGATCCCTCCCAGTCCAGTTTCTAACAGTTCCCTCTCTCACACAGCAGAAGGCAGCTCCTTTATTCATTGGTACCAAAGGGCCACCCATGCCTTAGGTCTTTGCCAAGTGGATAGAGGGGGACAGTGTTAGATCTGGGTCTGGGATGGCGTGGCCTAGAACGACAAGCTCCAGGTTAGAGGCTGAGAGCCAAAACCAGCTGTTCTCCCACAGGCTGGCGGTGTGGCTTTGGGCAAGTCAGATGGCTTCTTAGCCTCAGTTTCTCCATTGCGCGTCTGCTATCCCATTCACTGGGGCGGGGGCGGAGATAGATAGTTGCTTGGGGACCAGCCAAACATCACTGTTGGCTGTGACTTCGGTTCTGACATTATTGTTACCTGTACTCTGGTAGCCCCCAGGAGTGCACCAGGTGCTGTACAAACATGGAACAATGACATGGTCCCTCCCCCAGAGAGCTGACAGGGCATTCGGTTTGTGCTCCTACAGGTTTGCTTCGAGGGACACTGCAGGAACGCATCCATCTTTAAGTCTGAAGGCTGTAGGAAGAAGTGCCATGGCCGGGGAGTGAGTCTTTCTGCCTTTTCTCCATTTCAGGCATGGCTGGGGTAGACAAGTCCCTTTACATTTGTACAAGGTGTTTGGGGAGCTATTCATACTTTAAAAAGCCAGTTCCGACAGGGCCGTTCTTACCCACGCGCAGAATACGCAGCTGCACAGGGCACCTGCAAATCTGGGGCACCGCTGGGTCTTAGTGTTCACCCATCTCCCTCTTCCTATCCCTGTTCTGTGGCTGCTGCAGCCTGGAGAGTCTTCTGGAGATAAGCGAGATAACTTAAAAGTAAAACAGCCTTTTAGCAGGCCTATGAGCAGAACACTGATCCTGTGAAAGAGCCGTTCAAGTGGTCCTGAAGCCAATTAACAGTTCTCTACTGTCCATTTCTGAATAAACCGTGTGAGTCTACAGGATCTTTGTTTAAAATTAGCCTTAAAAATATGAATGCATTGCTGCAGATTATCAAATCACGTCTCTAAAAAATCGTGTCCCTTCACGTGGCTGCCATCAAGCAGAGGGACACCAATTTAATTGTACTGTGTAGGGCCCCATACACTCTGGCTACGTCGCCATTTTCGCAATCGGGGCTTTTTTGCGCAAAACAAATCTGAGCTGTCTACACTGCTTTGCGCAAAAGGACTTTTGCCCGAACGGGAGCAGCATAGTATTTCCGCAAGAAGCGCTGATTTCAGACAGTAGGAAGTCAGTGTTCTTGCAGAAATTCAAGCAGCCAGAGTAGGCAGCTGGCAAGTTTTTCCGCAAAAGCAGGTGCTTTTGCGGAAAAACTTGCCAGTCTAGACACAGCCCCTAAGGCCAGCCCCGCATTCAGGTGTCACCGTTAACATAAACTCCCGTGGTCTCCTGCTTCTTCATCAGACTCCCATTCGTGTGACAGGGCGCCTAGCTCCTAACTGGTGCCTTGGAAAGTCTCTCACATGTGGCCCACATGAGGGGCTGGCGGCTGGTGTTTGGTTGCTTGCTGTGTGTGGATTCTTGGGGCACTGGATAAAGTCCTTATCTGTTCCCAACACAGGTGTGCAACAGCAACAAGAACTGCCATTGCAACAGCGGATGGGCACCCCCGTTTTGCAACCAGCCTGGGAATGGAGGCAGCCTGGACAGTGGGCCCTTACCGCACCAAAGTGGGTGTGACTCCTTTTATCTCCCGGGTCCCTCGTACAGCAGCAGTGTGGGTGGTGGAAGGAAGAGCCGTACACAGTGATTGACTCTGCTTTTCTTGCTTTCAGGCCTAACTCCAGTGCTAGCAGGCGTCCTGGTTTCCATCTTGCTTTTGATCGGAATCGCGTTTGCGTTTTGCTACAAATGGAGGGACAGACTCGGGCCTCTGAAGCAGATCATCGTCCCTTCAAAGAGGAGCTCACAGTTGGGGTGGGATGATTCTTTGCCTCCCTTTCTCCCAAAGCTTTGCAGAGTCAGCGAGAAGAAAACTCACAGACCATTCCTGTAGCTAATTATCCGTCTCCTGGTCATGCACCAAAGAAGGTTGATGTCACACATGTCACTCAGTGGACAGAACTTCGACACTTCACAGAATGTTCCCATTGGTGGTTGTCTTGGCCACTAATGAAGGACACAGATGGTTGTGGCTCTCAGTTGGGGGAGGGGTAGCTCAGTGGTTTGAGCATTGGCTTGTTCAACCCAGGGTTGCAAATTCAATCCTTGCAGAGGCCATCTAGGGATTTGGGGCAAAAATGCATCAGGGATGGTACTTGGTCCTGCTGTGAAAGCAGCAGACTGGACTCAATAACCTTTCAAGATCCCTTCCGGTTCTAGGAGGTAGGCAATTTATTTTAATTTAATAGCAGTTTAGGTAGTAAAGTTTAGTCCAAGGGTGGGCAATAATTTTTGCAGGGGAGCCACTTAACAGATGTTGACTGCAGTCAAGGGCCAACTCCACCCCAGAAGGGGCAGGGCCTTGGGCAGAAATGGGCAGAGCCTTCTAGGTGCCACCTGCCCCTTGTTGGCACAGGGGGGAGGAGCTTCTAGCTGCTTTGAATAGTCAATGACTTCGCACACATACCCCTCCCGCCCCCAGCTCTCAATTGGCTTGGGAGCAGGGGAGTGGCAGGGCAGGCCATGGGCTGGATCAAACAGCTTGATGGGCCGAATTCTGCCCACGGGTCATATCTTGCCCACCCCTGGTTTCGTCACTAAAAGGGGACATGGATAAACAGGCTGACTGGGATGGTCGATGTTGTTTTCAAATTCTGCTGAAACTTTTTGTTGGAATTTAGGCAAAGAAAGAAAGAGAAAATGCATGAAGGAAATAACTCCCTTCTTCCCTTCTCTCTCCTCGATTGCCCGCAGTGCTGCTGCCCCAGATCAGTATGGTGCGAATGGCCATTCAAATCCAACCTTCAAACTGAACCCCCCGCAGGAGCGGAGAAAGGTAGCGACAAAGACACCTACCCCGAGGCAAGGTTCAGCCCTAGTCTGCTTCTGTCTCCACATCATTCTGGGACGTGCTAGCAGGGCTCGTGAGCAAGACACGAGAAGTCATTCTTCTGCTCTGCTCTGATTAGGCCTCCGCTGGAGGATTGTGTCCAGTGGGCATCACGTTTCAGGAAAGATGTGGACAAACTGAAGAAAGTCCAGAAAGCAACAACAATGATGAAAGGTCTAGAAAACATGGCCTGTGAGGGAAGATTGAAATAACAGGGCTTGTATGGTGTGTAGAAGAGAAGACTGAGGGGGGACATGATAACTGTTTTCAAATAACTAAAAGAGTGTTACAAGGGGTAAGGAGAAAATTTCTTCTCATTCTGAGGATAGGACCAGAGGAAATGGGCTTAAATTGCAGGATGGGAGCCTGAGGCTGGATGTTATAGAAAAAATCCTGCCAGGATGGTTAAATACAGGAATAAATTGCTTTATGGAGCTGATGGAATCTCCATCATGGGAGATTTTTAAGGGCAGGATGGACTGACACTTGTCAGGGATGGTTTAAATAATACTTAGTCCTGCCGTAAGGGTAGGGGACCAGACTCGATGACTTCTCAAGGTCCCTTCCAGTCCTACCACTCTATGAGCACCTTACTTCTTCTGGCAAAAATCCCAACCAAAGCTTTCCACATTATTCAGTGCACCCATTGCTGACGCTTCTTGTAAACGTCCCGGTGTAGTCTGGGCTAAAGGCAAAATGAGCGAAAACAATTAACACTTACTAGATATACCTGGCAAGTTCAGATATACTTGGTCAGTTCAGAATGCTATAGTCAGCAGTTTCCACTGCATTGCAGTGGAAGAAAGAGAGGGGTGTGACAATGAATGTAGAGGGCAGCATGTCTGATGTGGAAATAACACCTGGTGTTTGTGTGACTTGTCTGCAGGCTACCTATGCCCCTGAAATCCCATCGAAACCTGCTGTGCTTCACCCCCAGCCAGCCCCAGATCTCAAAATTCACAAGCAGCCACCGCCTGCTCTCCCAGCTGGCCACAGCCTCCACACCAGCAAACCCTTTGGTCCTGCGCATCAAGAAGATGGGATTCCGAAGGATGCTGCCCGGCGGCTTCCTCCGAGCAGACCACCACCCCCTGCTCCAAAACTCCTGGTCCCACAGGTAAAGGAATCACACTGAAATGAGCCATGTATCTGCTCTTCACGGCAATTGGAAAGGGCCCCCAGTTCTGCGCATGGCAGCAGTAGAGTTATGATGCTCGCTAGCACAGGGCGTGGTGCAAAGGCCAGTGGCTCACGGTCCCTAATGTAGCTCAGTTGATGCTTTTCCCCCACCCTGTGCTCTCTGAGGTGGGCCTCTTCAGAGCACACACCGAGCAAAACTGTGCACAGGAGATGGTGGGATGGACCCACCAGGGACGCGGTTCTCTTGGTTTCATTCAAACCTCCTGAGATGAGCTGTGGAGAATGAATTCAGTTCTACCTGTTCCCAGGGCAGAGGATTGCAAACATGGTCCTGCTGCTCCATGCTGCAGTTGATAATGTCCCTTTGCTGGGTGAATTTTCAATGATAATACTTCACGGGATTGTGTCTCGGCACCACATTTCAGAAAAGATGTGGAGAAATTGAAGAGGATCCAGAGAAGAGCAGCAAAAAAGATGGAAGGTCTAGAAAACATGAGCGATGAGGGAAGACTGAAAGAATTGGGCTTGTGTAGTTTAGAAAAGAGAAGACTGAGAGGGGACATGATAGCAGCTTTCAAGGATCTAAAAGGGTGTTACAAGGAAGGAAAAAAATTGTTCTCCTTGACCTCTGAAGATAGGACAAGAAACAATGGGGTTAAATTGGAGCAAAGGAGGTTTAGGTTGCACATTAGGAATAACTTCCAAACTGTCAAGGTGGTTAAACACTGGAATAAGTTGCCTAGGGGGGTGGTAGAATCTCCATCCCTGGAGCTATTGAAGAGCAGGTTGGACAGACACCTGTCAGGGATGATCTAGACGGTGCTTGGTCCTGCCCTGAGGGCAGGGGATGGGACTTGATGACCTCTCAAGGTCCCTTCCAGGTCTAGGACAATGGTTCTGTGATTCTCTCCCCATGTCTGTTCAGTCCTCAGCCTCAATGCTAAGACCACCCATGGGAGGAGGAGGGGAGTCAGTCAGAAGCCAGATCCAAGCCTGTAACCTCCAGATGGACAATTCCATCGCCTGTTGCCCATCCCCTGAGCCAGCCTGGCCCCTCCATTGTGACCTCAGGCAGACCTGAGCTCAGGCCTCCAGAGGGGACAGGTTCGTGCTGTCATTGGCCTTCGCTCCCCGCCCCCTTTTGGAGCGGTTTCATTTTCAGAGCAAAGTTTGCTATTCTCCTTGGGGGCTGATGCAGATCCTCTGAGACCCGGACCATCTGCCAGTCGCACATTTTGGCGAACAAGGCACCCGGGGAGTATTGGATTCAAAGCCTACTTACGCGCCATTGAGTAACAGCCCCAGCAAGCAACACGAGCCAGGAAATTGAGCAGATGCTCAGGAGCTCTCCGCTAACGGCTTCCCCAACTTTTGTGATGAGGGGGGAAAACTGGAGGCAGGGCAGGGCGGGTGAAATCACCGTCAGTGCTTTAGGTGCAGAGCTCCGGGCAAACGAGGGTGGTGCTGTGTGTGCTAACAGTCTGCATCAGGGCCAGCCACAGGTTTGTGCTGAGGCAACACGTGGGTTTTGAGGCTCCCAGTAACCGCAGTCATGCATGACAATGGCCAGGAAAGGGTTAAATCTGTGCGGTTGGCTGCAAACCTCCCTTACGTCCTGAGGTTGGGGGCCTCAGAGTTGACCAGAGATGTGCCCTTCCTGAACATGCTCTTTGTTTCCTGCTTAGGACACTGCCAGGCCCCGCCCACCGCAGAAAGCTTTGCCGGCTAATCCCGTGCCAAGAATTAACACCACAGTGCTGCCACCACCTGCTTCTGGAAGGCACGCAGGACGACACCAGCCACCAGCAGAGGTAGAGCTTCTGACAAAGGAACACAGAAGAGAATATAATAGCTGTGTCTAGACTGGCAAGTTTTTCCCGCAAAATCAGCTTTTGCGGAAAAACTTGCCAGCTGTCTACACTGGCTGCTTGAATTTCCGCAAGAAAACTGAAATGAGTGCTTCTTGTGGAAATACTATGCTGCTCCTGTTCGAGCAAAAGTCCTTTTGCGCAAAACTTTTTTTGTTTCTTGGTTTCTTGCTTAGGACACAGTACTCATCTATGTAACATGCCCTTAGCATGTTAGTCATTGATTCACCCTTCTAAATAGAACCTTAATATAATGTCTGAATCCAGCCTCTATCTACAAGGGGCTAGGAAGGAACTTTCCCTAGAAGTGTCCATTGTGGGGATTCTCGTGCATTCCTGGGAAGTGTCTGATACGGGCCACTGCTAGAGGTGGAATTCAGGTCTTAACTGGCATGACTATGCCAAGGTTCCTGTCTGCCATCTTTCTTCTGTTGGGCACTGTATCTGAACTAAGACAGCTTCGCCTGCCCCCTGTGGTCTGAGCTGAATTAGAACACGCGGGAAGCTTTTTCTTTTTCATAAAAACGTCTCTCACTGTCTCTTTTTGTCTTGTAACTCTCCACACCAGAACCCAACAGTGAAGCCAGCCGGAGGAGCAAATGCCTTGCAGAAATGATGGCCAGGCACTCTGCGTGCCAGGTCGTCCAGCTAAACACGGGTTCTTTCCAAACCGACTTGGGATCTCACAAGGACCTGGATGTCCCGGCAACCAGATAGAAGACTCTCAGGTTACGTGCAATGCTTGATCACCGCTCCCTAGCCCCGTATGTCCCACCTACCTAAAGAGACAGAGCTACCAGTCCTGGTGAAGGCAGGAGCAATGCTTAGTGACACCAGTGGGAATTGCATCAGTATAAGCCTGCGGTGCCTTTGTACAGATGTTACTTGTTTAAAATAGCAGTGAAATGTTATTGTGCAATTTATAGTGCAGAAGCGGGGTTGGGGAGAGAGAGCACTCTGTATTTTGAAAGATTTTGCCTTGCCCACCTTGTCTCGGTAATACCCTGGGCATGACATGGCCACCCCTGCTCGATGAGTATATAGAACTCTACGTGTCATCAGCAATTGCATGCTCCAGGGCGAGTGATCTGAATGTGTCAGCTATTGGATTTGACAGGTGAGGCACTACGGATAGCTTGTGTGTCTGTCTGTGAATGCCATATAGCTGCCAGGGTGTTCAACCACATCTGTTTCCCTGGGCTTTGAGCAATGGGGCAGCAGTGTGGAAGGAAACAGTGGAAAAGGTGCCGTGATGGTCTTTCTGATGAGTTGGGACTGGAATCTCCTCCCCACTGGACCATCCCTAGCAAGACCCTTTCCATCACCACCAGCCAGATGTTTTGCATTAACTGCTCCATTCTACCCCGTCTTGTCTTGTTGAGGTAAGCACAGAATTCAGTGGCATTTCCAGCTGGGTTTAGACTCTAGACAAGGTCCTGAACAGTCAAATGGAGTTAAAATAGAGGCCATGTGATGGAACCTCCCTGCTGGAACATGGTGCCGGAGTTAACCAGGCCAGAACACTCTGGCTACGTCTACACGGGCATGATTTTCCGAAAATGCTTTTAACGGAAAACTTTTCCATTAAAAGCATTTTCGGAAAAGCACGTCTAGATTGGCAGGATGCTTTTCCGCAAAAGCACTTTTTGCGGAAAAACGTCCGTGGCCAATCTAGACGCGGTTTTCCGCAAAAAAGCCCCGATCGCCATTTTCGTGATCGGGGCTTTTTTGCGGAAAACATTACTGTGCTGTCTACACTGTCCCTTTTGCACAAAAGTCTTTCGGAAAAAGACTTTTGCCCAAACGGGAGCAGCATAGTATTTCCGCAAGAACACTGACGATCTTACATGAGATCGTCAGTGTTCTTGCGGAAATTCAAGCGGCCAGTGTAGACAGCTGGCAAGTTTTTCCGCAAAATCAGATGATTTTGTGGAAAAACTTGCCAGTCTAGACACAGCCGCACTGTATACAGCCCATGGGCCTCCATTCTGTGCTGAGCAATACAATGCAGCGTGGGTACCTGGTCACCAGCCCAGCAAGAAATGTAACTTTAAAGTCATGGAAGACTTCTACACCACATGGTGCTTTTGTTGGACAGCTGATTGAATCCAGACTTTCCTCTAGCTGGCCTGAGGCAGGCACTTGTCCTTGTGCACTTTAAACAGAAGGCCTGGTTATAGGGCCTTTATACTAAGAATTTGTTTTGTTAACCAGCCTGGGTTTCCATGCATTTTCTCTCAGGACTTTGGGACATTTTGCTCCGCCAGCAATTTTTCCAGTTTCCTTGAAATTGCTTTACGTGTGAACGCTAGCAATTCCGGAACTCTAGACACAGAAGTTCTGTCCCCTGCAACTTTAGGATAGACTGAGGTCTTCAAGCAAAATGGTCCAGGCTGCACAGCATAAGAAACCCAACGACATGATGCAAAAACCTGTTTGGGGTTGTGATTTTATTATTGCTACTTAACTATGAAGAAAACCCTGGAACACAATTTTTGGCTGGTGTCTGAAGATGGACCAGGCTCTTTTGTTATCCTCCAGCTGTCACTCCTGGAAATGGTTAGTTTGGCCCTCTGCTGAGATTTTCATAGTCCTTAAAAATCAACCAGTAATGCCCCCACATGAAACAGCTGAGGCCGTAAGTGAATGAGGTCAACACTCTCTAACCTTTAAATCAGTGACGGGCAACCTAGGCTAGTGAGTGGGCCACGAGACCCCAAGCTGGTCTCCGAGGCTGGGGTAATTCTGCTAACTGCACTTGCTTGCATGCCTAGAATTTGGGGGAGGGACGAAGACAGAACCATAGCAACATGCTGATTGGATGCAGAGGGAGCGCACAGCTCTCACAATGCTTTGTGCAACCAGCTCGCCCCTCCCTTCACATGCCCTTGCATTACAGGCGTGTCACTGCAATTACACCAGGTACAAAACAATGTGGACTGGAACCAGCACAGCTGGGCAGCCCTGTATATTGTAAAACGTCTTGTGGGCCCTGATGGGTCGCCTGTGGGCCGCAGGTTGCTCACCACTGCTCGAAATGCTTTTCTCCACCTGTGGTCACCCCAGTGTCCTAATTACTGTCCCCTGGCATCTGCGCTTCAATGCAAAGCAGCCATTTACAGCTGGACAATTTTGAACACAGCTCTTCATCTTATTAAAACCACACACTTATTAATGCCTGCAGCTAACGTGTCACTCTCTGCCGCTTCTGGCACTGATCTGGTGCCCGCTGAAGTCTGTAGGCTGATTTCCACTGATTTCAGGGGGTGTGCAATACAGCCAGGGAACACAAAGCTCTGAAAACAACATGCTATGCCCTGTCCCTTAAAAGGGGACCCTGCAGCTCTGGGCGGCTGTAAAGCCTCCATAAAAGAACACTCAATACGTCACTTCACATTTGCATGTATGAGCTGAGTGAGTGAAGATGGGGGAGAAAATAAAATGTGATTAAAAAAAATTATTTGGGAGAATATTTACAACGTTCATGTCACGTTCTCTTAGGTCCATGTATTGTTTACAATAATGCTCAGTGCATCTATGCAACTACTTGAAACCTGCAACGCATTTGTGCCTTGTGTCTAGTTTACATTTAATAAACGTTTTGTGGATGGTCACTGAAAAGTTGCATGGGAGTGTTGCTAACAGAGTCAACACCAGACCTCAATGGCTCAGCCTGAGGCGTGAAAAGTGTCATGTTCAGAAGTGACACGATTCGAGGAAAAAGGCCTTTTCTGAAAGTTTGGGCACTGCAACGCCTCCAGTCTGTGGCAGACCAGCAGAAGAGCCGTGTAATCATTTCACTTTTCCAGGAGAGGGAGCTGCTGCTCTCATTCCTGACTGTCTTGCTGCGCTGCAGCCTAGCAATAAAGAACCACTCCAAAAGATTTCAGCTCAGCTCCAGAGTTTGTATAAAACGCCTTTATTCTCCTTCTAAGTACAAATTTCATTGAAATGTCGTTGAATGAGGGGGTTGCCTCCAGTAGGACATCGAAGCTCGTCGTAGATTCACATTCATTCTGCCTCTTGCCTGCGTCTGCAGAGCATGTTCCTTAGGAACAAGGACCCTGGGATCTTGCAGGGAGGATCAGACAGCGTCTTGTATCGCCTTGTGCTGAGAGCCCCAAAGGAGGCCACATGGGCTCCACAGCAGAGTCTGGGGGGCATCGGCTTCCACCATTCACATCTGTGACTTCTGGCTCCGCATGTGGCTCCTATTTCCTCCTGCAGTGTTAGCTGAGCACATAGGCAGCCGCCCAGTAGGGATTCAAATGCCACCCAGCTGATTAGCAGAGCACCCACAGCCGGCAGCATGTGTTTCTATGGGTGGTGCACATCTGCACATGCTTTAGTGCATGTAACAAAAATTAGTATGCACATGGATGAAAAAAAATGAGAACACACATTGATCTCCTGCCCCAGAGCACTGGCCCCCGCCACTTACTTAGCTGGCCCCACGTGCTGAGTGTTGAGCATAGAGCTGATGTGCTGAGCGCAGTAACTGATCCGTACACTCATAAAGCAAACCTGGGATTTTATGGTGAAAAGCTGACTCTGTAGCTATTACATTTCCCCACCTTTCCACCCCTTAAGTAAAAGGACCCCAGAGGGATCCTAGCTCAGTTTAAAGTCAGCTGTTCTGATCATTCCATGTAACTCAGCATGTAAGTGCCAGTCCACACAGGCTGTGTTCTGAAACCAGCTCCCAAGAGAGCCGGGATGTTTTCCAGCCATACAAGCGCAAATTTTAGACAACTGCTATGAGCGATGCCCGGCTAGGGGGAGCTAGGTCCCAAGCAGCTAGATCCCAAGCAGTGTCAGGATTAACTAAAGGCAAACAACTGAGCCCCAGCATGGGTTCAGAAAGTTGGGGTGAACTCATGCATGGGGGAGCTGCATCTGGGAGACGCTGTGGCAGAGAAAAATTAAAAATGCGATGGAACTGCAAGCAGGGCACAGTGCAAACCACAGACTGAGCGACTGTGCACAGATGAGGGAAGGGAGGAAAATTACTAATGCAAAAATAAATCTATACAGCCACAGAGCAGTTGCCTACTTATAGCAGCCTAGCATCTAATGCACAACCCAGGCACAGGGTCTTAAATGAGGGGCAGGCTTGAAAACTAGGTTTGCAAATCCCCCAACGAGCCCACGATGGGTTCTTTGAAAGCATTTGCCTACTTGGTTACTTCTCTCCTTGGCCAAAAAAGCCTTTAGCAGTTCTCCCCCTTTCAGTCTCCCAGCCTGAAGCAGTACTTCCACTGACCTAGGGAAGGTGCCGCGTTTTGCCGAAATCAATGACAGTCAGGGATTCACTGTTCTCCAACACTGGTGTTACCCATGGTGGGGTTGTTAAATATCAGTTAATTGAATAGTCGATTTACCTCATAAATTCTTATCGATTACTCGACTATTCTATAGTCCCTGTGGGCGGGGCTGGCAGCTAGTGAGCTCTGGCCTCACTCTTGAGGCGCCCCCTGCCACTCCATGCTGCTGCCTCTGTATCAGAGATGAAAAATGTGCACACAAAAGCTAATTAAAGTTGTACTGCAGGGAACTACTGACCCTCACAGCTCACAAAACCAAAAGCTATTTATATACTAATAGAAGATTTACTTGGCATTGCTCGGGTCCTGAACTCGGTAAGTTTTGTTTTTCTTCCTTTAAATCACTACTCTGGGGTGGGGTGGAGGACGAGGGGGTTCAGCATGAAGGCTGCCCCAGGGAGAGAGAACAACCCCAGCCCCCTCTCACCATAGCAGCTTGGGGCCAGTGCCTCTCCATGGCCGCTGCAGTGGGCACAGACAGGAGTGGAGTGAATGTCCCCGGGCTGGGGGACAGACGGACAGATAGACAAACCAACAAACTCTCTGAAATATATGAGAGCGCAAGCTGCCCTTTTCCATCCCTGCCCCCTACTGGCCCAATAGGGCTATAGCTAGCTGTCCCAGTCCCCATCTCTGCCCCCTCTGCTGGCCCAATAGGGCTATAGCTGTCCCAGTTCCCATCTCTGCCCCCTGCTGGCCCAATAGGGCTTATAGCTGTCCCAGTCCCCATCTGTGCCCCCTGCTGTCCCAATAAGGCTATAGCTGTCCCAGTCCCCATCTGTGCCCCCTGCTGGCCCAATAGGGCTATAGCTGTCCCAGTCCCCATCTCTAGCCCCTTGTTGCCCCATGGTGGTCATTCCGCAGTATAACTGTCCCTCCAGCCAGACCCCCTCCCTTTCCATTTTATGAGAAACAAATGAATTCCACAGAAATCCCATTGTCCTGGCACAACCAAACCCTGATCTTGCTTTAACTTATGATAAGAGGAAGCTGCATAGCAAATGTGGTGGTCCTACCTCTTACCGTTTGAGAGGTATTCTTGAGCAAATGGACTCTCAGACAGAGAGGTGCACATTTCTAAAATATATATCAAAAGAGACACATACACACTTTGCCTGAGCCCCATTTAAACAACAAAAAACTAAGCGAAGGTGCTGATTGTGCCATTCTGACTCATGCTGAATGGCCAAGTTATTCCTCACCACAGATGGGTAGAACCTGGCTCTACGGCTTTACCTGGCATCTTCCATCATGCTAGTGAGCGTCAGTCATTCCCGTGCAATCCTGGCACTGCCGCAGCTCATCGGGTTACCCAGCACAATGGGTCAATGCAGAGATGGGAGCTGAACCAGAACCTTGGAAATCTGTGGATGCTTTTAGTCTCAGCTGGCATTTTGATAAGCATGCCCCGCTGTAACAGACTGACTCAAAACCCACGCCCCTTCCAGGTCTGCACCTCTCTGGACTCCCAAGCTGAAATCGGGGGCTGTTGAATTCAACGTGGACTTATGAGCTTGAGAAGGCTCAACTCATACACTCACTGTTCAGAACAGCCCTGTGTCCGGAGGCAATACAACCCAAGATCATTTAGGGCATGGGGTGTACAGTCTGCAGCTCTTCACCCTTTGCACTAGTGAGCTCTGCCTAGCACAAGCACTGCATGTGCACTGGGTCTTTGCTCATTGTCCCCAGGTGGCTCAGCTTATCAAGACATCTGTGCCCCTCTAACTGATCCCAACGGACTGGGAACCAGGTGGCTTGGATTCATGATGGGGCTCAGCTGACAGCAAGAGGGTTTGCGCAAAAGCCGGAATGTGCCCAGTTGGAGGGAGGGCATAACCTGGGACTGGCCCTCAGGGGAGAGGGTTCTGGGGTGTGGTCAACCCATAGATGGCTGACCAGAGGTGTGGGGGTGGTAATGGAGCGGACGCCCTGGAATAGGGGAAGGGAGTCCAGGGAAGCAGCCTGAGCTAGGGAGAAGTCTGGGGGAGGAAATGCTCTGTGGCGAATGGGCAAACACACTGCAGACTGAGGGAGAGGAGCGAAGAGTCTGTGGAGATGGGAGCCCAGGAAGGGCCTATGGCAAAAGCTAGAAATGGACGGAGGCAGCAGCCGGGGCGTGCGGCTGGTGTCCGGCCGCTTTCTCTGGGTCCATCCACAATTTGGGGGCTCCAGCAGCAAGGCTGCTCTTCCGTTCCCACACTCGGATCCACGCGGTTCTCCTGCAGGCAGGCTGGGGTGGTAGCTTCCACCGCCTGAGGACAAACACACCTTACTTCCTTGCCCTGCTGTGCTCTATCCTGCACAGGGACGGGGGGAGTGCTGCACAATTTAGTGTCAAAACTTTCTCTGCGTTCCGCTGTTTTGTTCTTTCGAGCCACAGAAACTCAGATGTGACCCAAGTGTCCTCTTAGAACTTTTTGGTTGAAACCCCTACGATTTTGCACAAGATCCTTGACGGAATGCCCTAGGTGACACTGCTGTCACGAAAGCTCCAGATACTATATATTTATTAGTCTCTAAGGTGCCACAGGACTACTCGTTATTTTTAAAGCTCATCAAGCCACGTTGCACCATCACCCTGACCATCTCCTGTGCACCAAATCTCTTCGGCTGCTCTTTGGCAGACAAAAATAAATGATCTCTTACTGGCTTAAATATTTCCTGGGCCAGGTGTCTTTACAAAAGCAGATAGAGGGTGCTGGTGAGAGGAGGGTGTTTTCCATGAATGGACCTTTCGCTACGGAACTTGCTCTGACATAGCGTGCCATTGGCTCTCTGCTTCCCCCAGGCTTTCGGGGATTGGAAGCAGTGACAGATGTCCAGACTAGCTGTTGCTATCCATCTGGGTAAGCAGCCCGGGTGGTTTGCAAGGGCAGAATATTCACCGGGGACCTTCCTGTTCGGCTTGCTGTTGCTATGTGTTTTACGTGTTGTAGATGGATTGAGAGCCCTTGGGATAGGGGCTGTAACAAAATCAAACTCCACTAATCAGCTAGTCAGTGGGGAGCAGTCTGAAGTAAGCACATCATCAGCCGGAGTTCTGCTTAGGAAAAAAAGCAGGCAGATGCCCTAGACACTGGCACTGATGAGAGACCCAGCAGTCAGAAAGGATCCCAGAGTAGTTGTTTGCTCCAAGTTTATCATATCAAGGGAGATGCCACTTTCAGCAGCTGTTCATGTTCAAGTCTTATGGCTGAAAACAAAATATACCCCTTGCTCATGTTACGACATCAGATATGATCCACTGGAAGATTGTTTTTAGTTCAGACCCAAGACTAGTTTTACTGTTTGTGCTTTTGCTTTCAAATTGATCAGTAATATTTTACCCTGTTCAGAACAGCATCCTCTGCTCTTGAACATGTGTGTCACTGCTCTAGCTGTAGATCATGAATACCTTGGGTTTATCCTCAGTCACTGTGCCAGAATTGTCCACTTCTATAAGAATGTTCTTGTCGTCCTTGACTGCTGGTGTCTGGTTGCTGTTCTGAAGAGCTTGCGGTAAGTTCCTCAGACTTACATCCATGTCTTTGAAGGCCTGGAGTAGAAACACCCCCAAAATAATGGTGAGGAAGCCACACACCGTCCCAATAATGTCCACCACGGACATGGTGACCCACTCCTTAAAGAGGATGATGGAAGTGGTGATGACTATGGTGGTGAACAGTACGTAGTAGATGGGGAACACCAACGAGGTATTGAAAACGTCTAGCGCTTTGTTGAGGTAGTTGACTTGAGTGGTGACGGAAGCCACTAAGGTGATGATGAGAATCCAGGTCAGCGGGTTCTGCAGTACCGGCTGGTGAGCAAAGAAGCCCTTGATGGCAATCCCCAGACCTTTGACCGAAGACACGGAGAAGGCACCGATCACGGAGCAGATGGCGAGGTAGATGAGAATGTTGTGCTGCCCGTAGCGTGGTGCGAGGAAGAAGATCAGGACCAGGCAGGCGACTAAGAGGATGGTACCGTAAGCGAGGAAACCTTGGAGAGGCAAGAAGTGACAGCATGAAATCCAAGTGCGTATACAGTCAGGCTATAATGACTGTGTGCATTACTCAGCGTGCACCAGGGAGAGAAAACACCAGCCCACAGCGGGTCAGAACCAACGTCACCCCGAGTATGGCTATAACACACCTGATGTCGGCAGGAATACAGTGTGAAAAAACCCAAAAGGCTAGAGTGGTGGGAAACACTGTAGCTTAGCTAAGCAACATTGATCCCCATCAGTGAGAGATCTGGACTAAACCATCTCCAGTCACTTGTTAGGCAAACCCAGTCCAAGAGCTAAGACAAAGACCTGCCGAGGGTTCATTTTGCCAGTTTATGAATGAGCGCGTGACCCATGGAACATTGGAAACAGATGGATACGTGGAGGGACACGTTAGCACATGGTTCCATGGGCAGCAGGCCTGGCTCCTTGGTGGGGATGGGGGGGGAGGGAGAGCCCAGGGCTCTGCATACTGCTCCTGCCCCGAGCACTAGCTGCGCACTCCCATTGGCTGGGAACCTGCTGCTGGCTGCTTCTGCGGCAGCCTGGTCTGCAGTGCCAGGAGAGACAGGAAGCTGCCTTAGCCCCCCCCACTCCCCTCCTCACCGCTGACCAGGAGCCACTTGAGGTGAGCCCTTCCTGCCCCAGCCCTGACCCCCTGCCCCAAAGCCAGAGGCCCATCGTGCACCCCAAAGCTCATTCTCAGCCCCACTCTGGAGCCTGCATTCCAGTCACATGATGTTGGGTCGCAGCATCACCAATTTTCTTCCACTGGGTCATGAGCAAAACAGTTTGAAGACCACTGGGCTAGAACATACAACAGTCGGACTGCAGGGAAACGGTTTATAACGGTGTATCACGGAGAGAATTAAATCTTTCTGCCAGCCCCCTGGTTTCTAACTAACAAATACTCCTGATCGTGCATGTACATTTCCCTCTAAATGGCCCCATCTGTAATCTGGCTGGATTGCCTGGGGCTTACCGGGCTCTTTCAGTTTTGAAGCCATTTCCGTCAGCGTGGTGACCTCCTCTTCTTCCGGGGCGTGTATCACCATAACAGTGCTACCCACAATGCTCAGCATGCAGCCTAGCTTTCCCAGGAGATTCAGCCGCTCTGCGAGCAGATAGGAAGACAGGATGGCACTGGGCAGGTTAGGAAAATAAAATATGTTAATGCCCCAAAATTGTCTGAGGGAGAACTTAACATGATCAAATTAAGGCTGAATCAGGATTTAGAATGGTTCTCTCACTACAAAGGCAATTTCCCCGCTTTTGGTATTCATACTTCTCCATCAGCTGCTGGGAGTGAGCCACATCCACCCTTACTGAACTGGCCTTGTTAACACTGGTCCTACCCCTGATAAGTAACTTCCTTCTTTTGATATACTAGAACACACATATATATCTCCCCACTTCTGTAATTTCCACTCCAATGCACCTGATGAAGTGCTTTTTACCCAGGAAAGCTTATGCCCAAATAAATCTGTCAGTCTCTAAGGTGCCACAGGACTCCTCTTTATTTTTGCAGATACAAACACAGCTACCTCTCTGAGGCTACACCTATACTGCAGAGTTTTTGTGCAAAAACTCACGGAGCGTCCAAACTACAAGCACATTTCTGCGCAAGAAAAAGTACAGTAGATCATCAGAAGACAGGGCTTTTTGTGCAAGAGTTATTCCTCTTTCTACGAGGAATAAGCCTTTTTGCACAAGAGCTTCACACTGGAGTTACTAACATCAGAGTTTGGGAACCGTGTCTCCTAAAATTCACAGCTGACACAGAAATGGGTTAAAGGAAACATTTATAGTTGGAGAGAGATCAAGGTATCTCCAGAGGATCTTATAATTCTGCTAGTTCCATTCCTGCATAGTTGGGTAGCATGAAATTCCTAACACCCAAAGTAAGGGGTTTTGAGGACCGAAGAAAGAAAGAAACACCTAATATTATTATTATGAAGTTGTTAAACAATTATTGTTGTTACATGTTAGACAGGGGAAACCAACAGCAAAAGGCTGGTCACTTTTCAACTACGTGTTTGCTTATTCACATGACCCACTCTGGAAGCAGTTTCCTACTGCAGTGGTGCTAAATCTCCCATTTTTATTATGAGTCTTGCTATAATTGGTGCGTTTTTCTTTAAAAGCCCCAGCTCCTGGAGCGATGTGAAAACCCAAGACTTCTAGTTTTCCTTAAAAGAAAAATACCTTTCCGTCCCTATGACAGGAAAGAAAAATAGACAAATGTGACCATAAACACACAAAAACCAGAGAGCAGATCAAAAGAACCCAAAATGGATGATTCTGTAAAAAGCGCTCGTGATTTCTGGCATTTGGGGTAGGCAATGCTATTCACTGCCCAAAAGCTTCCGCTAGCAGTTCCTCAACTGGGAGAATGGATGAACAAGGAAGAGACAGGAGGTTTTTTATAAAAGCCTCCAAATGGCTGCCCAACTCCTGGTCACACCAACATACGTTGTTCCCATGGGGCATGTTATTTAATCCAATGGTTTCAGAGCTTTGCACAACATCCTGCACTGAGAAAAGCATCCAGCTATTAGCCTATTCTGTAGCAATCACCAAGATGTGTTTCCATCTTGCTGAGTAAATCATGTTCACGCCATATGGGGGAAAAGTGGGATTGAATCTAAAAATAGAGACTTAGAAATCACCTTATGAGCACGCTCAGGGCACCAAGCGGCGTGACGATAGTCGCCGGTGCAAATGCATAGGCAGCAAAGTTGGCAGCTTCTCCTCCACCCACTGAGCAAACAAGGGAAAAACAAACAGCCAGCAGGAGCGTTACAACATGCGTTTTGTGAAGGTCACTGTGCATTTTCAGAGGGGTAAGGGCTGAGGTGAGGGAAGGAACACAGATCTTGCTGGGGGTTTCCACGCCATATAGCAACAGAGCCAGGGCACCTTGGGTAAAAATAACCCCTGTGAGAACGAGTCCCAGCGAGGGAGTGTCACACAAGGAGGATCTGGAGGCAGTTGTGCATTCTGGATCTTGTTACCAAGCGTGGGGGGATTCTGGATTCGGCATTGAAGTGACCACCAAACCAAACATCCCACTGATTGAAAATCTGAACCCACACCCAGCACCAAGTGTCCCCAGAGAAATCTCTCTCCATATGCTGGAGGAAGCTGGATCTCTGCTTCCGGACACCAGCCAGCCTCGCAGGATTTGCAACATAGATGCAAACCCAGATCCAAAGTTTGCAGACTGGGGCTCTCACTCGTTTTCACTGTTGGTCCAACCTCATCTAGCCCCGCTGGGGGAACCACAGCACAGGAAATCACTCTCTGGAACTTTCCCTGCTGCTCCCATTGGCCAGAATCATGGCCAATGGGAGCAGCAGGGGGTGGGGTGCCTGGGAGCATTGGGAGGCACGGAGCCAGGTAAGCCCTACGCTCCATCATCCTCATGCCCACAGACTACACCCCAATCTCCCTCATGCAGCCCCTTCCCACCGAGACCCACCTACCTTACTCCTGCACCCTCCCTTTCTCCCAGAACCTCCACCCCACTCCTGCACCCTCCCTTCCAGCCAGACCCCCATCCCCAACCCTGCATCCTATCTCCCAGCCAGACCCCACACTCTCACCCCCTCCCGCACCCATTTTGTTATCATGGGTTGTTGGTTGGTGGTCCATGGGAAGGCCAACTTTGGGTAGGCCAAAAAGTTTGTGAACCATTGACCTCAGACTCATCAGAGGCAGTGGATTCTGGGTCTCTGACAACTTGGACATCAACTCCACACTTCTCCCACCCCGAGAACCTCTTTTACTAGCAAGGGCTAGGACAAGCTGGAAAGGGGACGCACCAAAGCCCAAGTTGTTAATGGATCCGAGTGGTTCCATTTCCTAGCTATGGCTCTGCTAGTTTATCCCACATAATGGGAATAATTCTATGGGCATTTAGTTTGGACATTTTAAAAAGTTGCCTCTGTCCAATATGGGACATTTGTGTGGAGACTGTGGTTGTTAGAGCAACTCCTCCTACCCCAGGAAAGTGAGAGAGTCCTGGCCAAATGTCAAGGCACGGGGAGCAGGAGGGGACTTTAAACTGTTCCTACTGAAAAAAGCAGTTAAATATTTATCTGGGGGAAAATGGCATGTGGAGTTCAAATGTCTTCTGCGTGGCTACAGGGTCAGACTTGAAGGCTAAATTCCATCAGAGGGATTTTAGTCCTGCTTTCTGTGAACTTCTCACTTCAGTCTTCAGGATGGAGGGGTGACAGATATTCTACGTACTGGGGGAGGCATGCCCTTTCATGACGTTGGTAACCCATCAGGCTTTAGAATCATGGAATCATAGAATATTAGACCTGGAAGGGACCTCGAGAGGACATCAAGTCTAATCCCCTGCCCTCACGGCAGGAACAAGCACCATCTAGATCAGTGTCTCTCAACCAGTGGTACGAGTACCCTCGGGGTACTCGAGAGAAGTCTGGGGGGTACATCAACATAGCTGAAATTTGGAGAAAACTGAATTTTTGTTTTAAGTTTTACAGCATTTTATTATTTTTGTACTTTTTACACCCAAAAATTTCATTGCCCGCCCGGCTACGATGAAGTTGTTTAAACAAATGTGTTGCCGTGGTAGAAAAAAAACCCTGTGTGTTCCTGAAAACTGTAGATACTGGGGGTATTTTTTTTTTAAAGGGGTACTTTATAACCAAAAAAAAAAAGTTGAGAAACATTGATCTAGCTCATCCCTGACAGGTGTCTGTCTAACCTGCTCTTGCATATCTCCAGTGATGGCGATTCCACAACCTCCCTAGGCAACTTATTCCAGCATTTAACAGCCCTGACAGGTAGGAAGTTTCTCTAATGTCCAACCTAAATCTCCCTTGCTGCAGTTTAAGCCCATTGCTCCTTGTCCTACCCTCAGAGGCCAAGGAGAACCAGTGATTGGTGTGCTGACAGACCATCCAACCGTCCAGACATAACTGGGGCTTTTCATGCTTTTGGCTAGGGAAAACCAAGCAAACGAGTTCTGCAAGTCATGCAGACTGGCTGCGATGTGAGGGTGAGGAAAGCCACACACTGCAGGCTCGGTTCTGCTCCATTTATCAATCTGCAGGCGCAGGGAAGCCATCCCTGCCCTGGAGAACCTTACGAGGCACTGGAGAGAGTGGCTAGAATAACCGCGTTCTCTCGTCTCAACTGTCTAAGCCTTGTCAGAGCTGAAGACGCACAGGAATGTGAATAACCCCACTTACTGGTTAACAGGCCAGCCCACCACAACCAGTCCTTGAGGTAGCCGTGACCACCGTCTCCTGGAAAAGCAAAGCAGAGATATTTAGGAACTATTAGAAAAATAACCCACAGCCACAGGACCCAGCAGGCTCCAAGCTGTAGAGGTGCCATGTCAAATAACTACAGAAGGCGGCGACAGACAAAACGGCATTGCAGGAAACAATCAACATGTCAGTAAAGTCCTACAGGAGACAGCTGTTAGGAGAAGGTGGTGTTTTCAGCCTGGCTGAGCAGTATACATACAATAGAAACCACCCGGCACCACTGAAGAGGCACCGTCATCACCCCAGCCAGTGCTAAGCACTGACAGGTCTGGGCTGGACTTGTACTGCCTTGGCAGGGATGAGTGCACTTAGACACGAAAAGCCATGGCCACAGTTTCTGTTTTTCAGGACACTGCTGGAAGGGTTCCAGTGCTTTGCTCTGGGAAGGGTCCAGCTATGGGACTGAAACCCGAAAGGGAAACTGTGGAGGGAAGAGACAAAGGGTAAAGCTGATGGGGAAACAAACCTCTTGCTGGTGTCGTGGATGGCAGTATTACCTAGTGGGTAGGGCACTAAACTGCTTCACACATCTGGAATCTATCCTGAGCTCTGTTGCTTATGGGCTGGGTGACTTTGGTCATGTCTCTTGGCCTGTTTCCCTCCCACTCTTTATGTCATGTCTATTTGGGCAGGGATTCTGTAACTATGTGTTTATACAGTACCTAGCACGCTGGTGCCCTGATCTCAGCTGGGGCCTCTAGTTGCCACTGGAACAGAATCATAGAACACGAGAACTGGAAGGGACCTCGAGAGGTCATCAAGTCCAGTCTCCCATCTTCACGGCAGGACCAAGCACCATCTAGAACATCCCTGACAGGTGTCTGTCTAACCTGCTCTTAAATATCTCCAGTGATGGAGATTCCACAACCTCCCTAGATAACTTATTCCAGTGTTTAACCACCCTGACAGGTAGGAAATTTTTCCTAATGTCCAACCTAAACCTCCCTTGCTGCAATTTAAGCCCATTGCTTCTTGTCCTATCCTCAAAGGTCAATGAGAACAATTTTTCTTCCTCCTCCTTGTAACACCATTTTAGGTACTTGAAAACTGTCATGTCCCCTCTCAGTCTTCTCTTTTCCAGACTAAACAAACCCAATTCTTTCAGTCTTCCCTCATGGCTCATGTTTTTTAGTCCTTTAATCATTTTGGTTGATCTTCTCTGGACCTTCTCCAATTTCTCCACATCTTTCTTCAAATGTGGTGCCTAGAACTGGACACTAATCAGCGCAGAATAGAGCGGAAGAATGACTTCTCACATCTTGCTCACAACACTCCTATTAATGCCTCCCAGAATCATGTTTTTTTTTGCAACAGTGTCACACTGTTGACTCACATTTAGCTTGTTGTTCACTATGACCCCAAGATCCCTTTCTGCAGGACTCCTTCCTAGACAGTCACAATTCTTCCTTTTAGCTGAATACAAATAATTCATAATGATGTTTATTGCAGAGAGGTCGTTTCCTGACTCTGCATTTCCAGTGCAAAAATTATTCCCTGCGTTAAAAAAACACAACAACAACAACGAAAAGATGGTAGAAAATGTGTGTCTAGAAGAAGGAGACTTAAGAGGATCCAACCAGGCTGGGAAGAAGAACTCTAGAGCAAATCTTCGCCTAGGAGTTCTTCCACTTTGAGAGCCCGATCCTGCCCCATTAAAATCAAAGCAAAAGCTCCCATTGAGTTTAGTAGGAGCAGGCTAGGGCCCAGTTTTCCATTACGCTGGCCAAGGAAGTACTGCCACGTAACAGCAAAAAGAACGAGGAATGTCCAAGCATGGGGCAGAGCCCCATGCCCAAATACCATGGTAATGAGGCTGGTAGAAATGTGGAGATAGGAAGATTAGACAGCTAGGAGAGTATGAGCTAGCCATGGAGAAAGGACACAGGAAACCCCATTGCTAGAACTGAAACATTAGAACAGGGGTGGGGAGCCTTTTTTGGGTGCGGGCGCTTGACCCACAGAAAAATCAGTCACACCCACAAATGAGACGCAATAAAACCCCCAAACAAACCCCTCACTGACGTGGCCCCAACTGAGAAGGAGAACGACCCTCCCACATTCCCCTCCCACGCCAGAGCCTAGGGGTGTCAGCCTGGTAGATCTGTGTGCTCGAGCCTTGCAGTGGGGCAGCAGAGGGGCTGGAGTGCCAGCACAGGTTCTCCAATGCTGGGGGTGGGGGGCTGAGCCTCGGGGGCAGGATCCACATAAGCTGGAAGCGGGATCTGGCCCCCATGCCTTAAGTTCCCCATCCCTGCATTAAAAGATCCTGAGTGGAAGCTTCAGACAGGTCACATAGTGAATCCCATTGAAATCCCTGCTTTTCCAGGCTCAAAGCGTTCTCAGAAATTCTGCTTTTTGGCTCAAGTTTCTCATGCTGGAACTCAGCCCCATGATGAATTGCTCTGGAAAATGGGAGGAAAATCCCTGGAACCACTACGGAGTTTGCTCAGTTTGGGATGTGTGTGGGGAAGGCAGGAAATACTTTTTTTTAAACTGTTAAAAAATTCCTAAAAGTACTTTGGGCATAGATAACTCAAAAAACCCCAAACCCTGAACTTTAGGCCATCGGCTGTTGGATATGGCCGGACCTCACAAGGGGCAGCACCATCCCAGTTGATCTGTACCACTGAGCATTTCAAGGACCACACTGGCAAGCTGAGTTCTAACCCCAGCTTTGCCTCTGGTCAGCTGGGTGACCTTAGTCAAGTCACTTCATTGCTCCGTGCCTCACTTTCCCCCTCTGTAAAACAGGGATAACGCTACAGACCTGGTTTGTAAAGCTCTTTGAGATCAATGGATGAAAAACATTAGCTAGGGTGCTATTGTTTTGTACTTACACAATGAGGCTGGCTGCATGCGCTGTTTGACATGTCTACTAAGGCTTAAATTTGTGACACTGGAGCTAAGGGATGAACTCAGGAGTGTCCAGTACAGGGAGATAAAACTCTACCCCACCCATGGATAGGTGCACACAAACACACACACACACACACACACACACACCACTTTGACCTTGCATCTGTATACAGGGTTGGTCATCTCCCCCCCACCTTTCCCCCCACACACACCAGTGCAGACCCACTGCGCGCGCACCCCCCCAGTGCAGCCCCACTGTGCACATGCGTACGTACCCCCTCAGTGTATCCCCACTCTGCGTGCGCACGCACACCCCCCCCGTGCAGCCCCACCGTGCGCACCCCTCCAATGCAGCCCCACCGTGCATACACACGCACACACACACACACACACACCAATGCAGTCCTACCATGCACACACTGAGCTGCATGTTTCCACCAGCCCCACTCAGACGCCACCTCTGCATGCTGCTCTAACGCGCTGCTCTATACACACGCGTCCCCTTGCTCAAGCGCCTACTGCACAATCTCCTCCTGGCACATCCCATCCCCTCTTGTGCAATACAAGCCCACACACGCATGCCTCAGCCAGAGCCTGCACTCAGTACCACCCACTCACCCCAGCAGGCACGCCGCATTCACATGCTCTCACGGAGATCCCTCTTGCTCAACATCTGTGCATGCCCTCTAGGCCACCTTATCAGGACAGACGCCCACTGTCAGCAAGAAGGCACTGCCAATACAAGTTGGATGTACACAGCTCATTAAGGACAATGCATTTGTGTGAGAGGAGTGGAAGTAAACTCCTGCAGTGTCTCTTACCCTCACCTTGCTAAACAGTGGTGTCAGGGTTAGCAATACCACTAGGGGTCAGCTCCGGTCAGTAATAAGTCCTGCCCCCTTCTGTGTCATCTGAGGAGTCAGTCAGTGTAAACTCATGGTGGCAGTAGTGGGATACCTCTGGCACCAGCTGAAGAACACTGAGGATCTTATAATCATTACCTCTCATTTAGATGGTCACCGTCCAAGGTGCTTTTCTACCCAGACCATCCTTGTGGTATTAGAACAACCAGGGTATGAGGGTGCCAAAAAGAATCTTTGGTGTGTCAGAGAGATTATCTGACAGCAGCCCTTTCTTGGTGCAGCACGTCTGAGATTAGACTGTAACCTCTTCAGGGCAGGGATTAGACTGTTCTATAAAGTTCTCAGCACAGCTTAGTTACTGAATTATTATTAATAACTAACACAGAGAGGGGAAAACATTCATACAGGTTGAACCTCTCCATTCTGGCACCCTTGGGATCTGACTGGTGCCGAACCAGAGAATGTGTCAGACCGTGGGAGATCAGTATTGTCTAGCAGCATTACCAGCACTTCCACTGCTTACTGGGCTCTTAGAGGACATTTAGGGGTAAATTACAGCTAAATAAACAGCACAGAACACTGAAAGCCAGGACTGGTGGCTGTAAACAAACTTTTTCGGAGTGTGGGAAACTTGGCCACATCCATGCTAAGTGGACATCTGGCTAACTAACATCATGCTGGACCACAGATGTTGCGGGTCAGAGAGTGCCGGACTAGAGAGGTTCAACCTATAGTTTAATGTTCAGTTAATACTGACGTAGCTAACGAGGGCTAGTTTATAGGCCTACTGTGGGCTCTGCAACTAAACGTGGCATTTTGCATTAACAAGAAGTCCTGCTCCAGTGTGGGTTTGCCCTTGTCAATCCCGCAGCAAACTTCCCCATTGACTTCAATACAAGCAGGACTTGATTCCTGGAGAAAAGAACTGTGTAATCCCATGGGAGTGTATTGACCCATTCTGCACGGGTGAAATTCTCCCCTGGGCAAAGGGCCAGCGCCAGGCAAAGACCCACTGGAGTCCCACGCCTGGTTCTATTTACACTGAGAAGAGATGGCTCTCTTCATATTAGTCCCTAGTGGATGCAAAGTTCCCCCACTCGTGGTCATCAGGCCCGTCAGATGCAAACATGCACCGACAGCAAATCTCACATCCCCCAGCCTCATTACTCATGGGAGTTGGAACAATGCAGAACCACCTTCTCTTCCCCACCGCCCTCCCCAAACATCCATACCTGCTCTGGTGCCTCCTGTGTCCACCAGCCGCAGCAGCCCTTTCTTCTTGAGGATGACACTGCTGCCGATGAGGAAACTGGAGAAGATGGCGAGGGCCAGGCCGATATAGAAGCCGTATTTGCTTTCCACTGGGATTGCCCAGCTGGTGTGGGCACTGACATTCTCAGGGGCAGAAGTGGCCAGGTCGCCATCTCGGATCACCTGGCATACGACCCAGCGGGAAGGGCAGGAAACAGTAATCAGAGAACCTGCGGGGACAACGCACACAGAACACACGTGGGAAGAGTTAGCGCGACGATTGGGTGTGGCTCTAGCAAACGCATTTCTGGAGGGATGGTGGGGTAGCAGTTGGCACACAGGACTGGGGCCCAGGATTCTCATCTCAGGTCCAAGTATCCTATCTGTCAACAGTGGCCAATACAGATGCCCCAGAGGGAGGGAACTCAACAGGTAATCCTCACATGATCCCTCTCCTGTCATCCATTTCCAGAGAAACAGAGGCTAGGGACACCATCCATACCCATCCTGGCTAATAGCCATTGATGGACCTAACCTCCATGAATCTATCTAGCTCTTTTTTGAACACTGTTAAAGTTCTAGTCTTCACAACATCCTCTGGCAAGGAGTTCCACAGGTTGCCGTTCGATGAGTGAAGAAAAACTTCCTTTTGTTTGTTTTAAACCCGCTGCCTATTAATTTCATTTGGTGACCCCTAGTTCTTATATTGTGGGAACAAGTAAATAACTTTTACTTATTCACTTTTTCCACCAGTCATGATTTTATAGACCTCTGTCCTATCCCCCCTTAGATCCCTCTTTTCTAAGCCGAAAAGTCCAAGTCTTTTTAATCTCTCTTCATATGGGACCCATTCCAAACCCCTCATCATTTTAGTTGCCCTTTTCTGAAACTTTTCCAATGCCAAGAGATCTTTCTTGAGATGAGGCGACCACATCTGTACGTGTACGCAGTATTCAAGATGTGGGCATACCATGTTTTTATAGAGAGGGGACACCATTTGCCAGGGAAGCTGGACAAAGGCTGGAGGCGGGGCCGGCTGCAGAGAGAGCTGGGCTGCAGAGTGTGTGAATCAGGCACGCTGGCTTGGGGGGCAGAGATGGGGAGCAGGACCCTTGGCACTGGCTGCTTCTAGATCCTGTGCTGACAAGTCTGTTCTATGCTCTGTCCCTGTAGACAAATAAACCTTCTGTTCTGCCGACCGGCTGAAAGTCACCTCTAGCTGCAGATAGTGGTGCAGGGCCTGGTGGTTCCCTACCCCTCGGTGACACCTTCTCATATACTATGCAAGTCCTGTATGTTTTCAGCAATGTCCCCTTGCCAGCTAACGGCCATCAAGAACTGAGACTCTGAAATGAGTTCCCCTTTCTCCACTGCAAGCAGTTTGACTCCCACTCTTTATTTACAAAGAGTCACCAACAATCCCAGTCCTCCAGGCATAGTAACAGCCCGTCTCTGCAGAAACACATTGTGGCTCCAGGGCCATCACAGTCGAAGGCATTATTTGTTTACATCAGGAACTGACTTCAAAAATGGGGCAGAGGAAAGAAAGGACTTACTTATAGGGAGGAAGAAAAATTGTTCTCCTTGACCTCTTATGATAGGACAAGAAGCAATGGGCTTAAATTGCAGCAAGGGAGGTTTCGGTTGGACATTAGGGGAAACTTTCTGTCGGGATGGTTAAGCACTGGAGGTTGTGGAATCTCCATTGCTGGAGATATGTAAGAGCAGGTTGGACAGACACCTGTCAGGGACGATCTAGAAGGTGCTTGATCCTGTTGTAAGGACAGGGGACTGGACTTGATGGCCTCTCAAGGTCCCTTCCTGTTCTAGGATTCTATGATCCTATGGGAGATATGAAGACCATTGAGTATCTAGAATGAGTATAGTTAGTGGAAGGAAGACAGTTACTGAATAAAAACTCTTCTCTGTAGCATGGGGGAAAGCATTAAAAAGCACTTGCCAGGTTGGAATGACTCCACCAGCCCCAAAATAAAGGGGGGAAAAGTGGAACGTACTTGGAAAAAATATGGACCTTGTCTCTATTTGAAAATGAATATTAACTTTCAATTTGTCTTCTATTTATAGCCCCTCAGTACTGCGTCTGAGGGCTGGGCTCCAGGAAGGTCCCAGACACGTGCCCAAGAATGGCATAGCCCCTAGCTCGCCGTGACAGGTCTATGGACTGAATTCTGAACCAGCCCTGATTCAAACATTGGTGTTTGCAGGATTGGTGAGGCTGTGTCGGTCCCCGGGTATTAGCGAGACAAGGTGAGTGAGATCGTAGCTTTTATTGGACCAACTTCTGTTGGTAAGAGACAAGTTTTCGAGCTCACACAAAGCTCTTCTTCAAGTCAGTCAGGTTGCACAAAATACGTATTCCCTTGGTAGGACTGTCATCAGTCTGCATACCTGAAGGAGATACAGTGGAAGGTGGAAAGCTTGTCTCTTTCATGAACAGAAGTTGGCTCAACTAAAAGCTCTGACTTAACCCACCTTGTCTTTGTAAGATCCTGGGACAAACATGGCTACAACACCACAACGAATTTTAATGTTTGCAGATTATTGGTTTTCAAAAAGTGTCACAAATCTTTGCATTTCCATTGGGGTTAGGGGGAGGGTCTCACAGAAAAAAAAAATCTGCCACTGTGACATTCATCATGGGGCAGAAAACTGGTTTCTTGACCAGAGCTAGTTAATAAGGCACCTTGCCACAAAACTTGCCGTACCGCTCAGGATTGGTAGATTTTCAGGTCAAATGGGGCCATGACAGCTATTTGAATTTAACCTCCTGCATGCCAGAGGTCAGAGACTCTCCACCCAGAAATACCTGCATGAAGCCTGACACATGTGGTTAAACGAGAGCGTTTCTTCTAGTTAGAGACTCCAAAGCCACCCCACCGGCTCAGGCTGCAGTCTGCCAGCTAGTCTGTCGCTCACCCTTTCCAGCCCATTTCTACCTAGTTTGGTAATTTTGCTTTTCTGGGGAATGAGAGAAGAGCTTTATGTCAGGCCCACCCTTCTGGCATGACCTGTGTTGGAGCAGATATTTACGTTAAAGGTTAGAATAGCAACCTCTCACAAAGCGTCCTCTGCTGTACACTGGGTGTGCTCTGAACCTCGGGAATAAAGACCAGCCAATGGCAGAACTGCTCAGAAGTTATGAACTGGCGACAGGGGATGGATCACTTTGTTCCCACTGAAACACCTGGCATTGGCCACTGTGGGGAGGCAAGATACTGGGCTAGATGGACCTTTGGTCTGACCCAGTACGGCCGTTCTTATGTTACACAAAATAACTCTCTTGTCGCTTGCTTTCACAGCCACCCCTTATGGTGCCAGGCCCATAACTTCTGGTTAGACCTAGGCAACATCTCCTCCTGAGAAGATGCCAACATCAGAGGACATACAACCAATGACAAGGACCCTGGGACTCCTTCCCGTGTCCTCTTGTCTTCTAGAAGCAAACCACATCATGCCTGAGAACCCAGAAGTGAGGGGCGGCAGATCTCAGATTCTTGTTACGGCTCTCTTGATTCAGCAGAGTGAAGGGCAAGTTACACCTGCTGAAGTTAATGCCGCGGAATTAGTCTTAAGTCAGGGCAAAGAAGGAGAGAGTGCCTTATTGGGATACTACTGAGACTCCCTGAAAACACATTAAAACACCAGCGAGGTTGATTCTGATCTAGTAGATTGGTGCGGAGCTAGTCTACAGAAACTAAACCACTCCGCACCGGACAGGGAAAGATGGAAGGAAATAGTGAGGGAGGCATTGGACACCAATGGGCGTTGAGCCCATGATTGTTGATGATGGTTGATTTGACTCTTAATCCTTCCTAATTAGGTATTTTGATTGCGTTCTTAGCTACCACCACGACGAGCATATTCATACCTCAGCCATGTACTGGATGTGTGCCCTTCTGCTGGGACCTTGAAAACAGAGGGTCCTCATTCATCTCTGCCTATGCAGTGTGGGGATGCCCTTGAAGAGTGGTGACTCTGGCCCACAGGTGGTGTCTGGAAAATGATTCTATGGGACATTTTCTCAGAATACAGGTTTGTCCTTCGCCAGACCTCCCTACTTCTCATCCCCGCTGCACGCAGCCGTCCTGGACACCCCCTGGCTGGTGAATGCACGTGAAGTTGGAAAGCACTGCTCTCCAGCAGGGTAGACTAGGGCAGTGTTTCGCAACCAGTGATACAAGTACCCTTAGGGGTACTTGAGAGAAGTCTGGGGGGGACGTTAACACAACTGAAGTTTGGAGAAAACTGAATTTTTGTTTTAAGTTTTATAGTGCTTTATTATTTTTTTACTTTTTATGCCCAAATGTTTCATCGCCCGCCCGGCTATGATTAAGTTGTTTAAACAAATGTGTTGCAATAGTAGAAAAAAAAATGTGTCTGAAAACTATAGGTACTGGGGGTACTTATAATTTTTTTAAAGGGGCACTTTATAAAAAAAGGTTGAGAAACATTGGACTAGGGGGTAGAAATGTGAGTCGTTATTAAGAAGAACAAAAATAGAAAAGACCCAAGCTCTGTAAAGCACCACTAAAAATCAGCATCTACAACAAAGGCGTATCAGTGGGTGCGGTGAGGGAAATTTCTGAGCTTCCCTTTCTGGTTCTCACGCTCTTGCCACACCCCAGACATTGCTCCGGGCTACCCTTCACTCTGCGTAGGGACTGAACTAAAAACATACACAGAGACGAAGGAGGAAAAAAATGCCCAATGAGTGTTCTCGCCACTGGGGAGCCAACCGCAGCTGAGCAACAAAAGAGCTGAGTCAACGTAGGAACACACGGTGTGCGGCAGAGCTAGGAGCTACATCACTGCCTCAATCTCAGCAATAGAAAGAGGGACCCGTCACGTGGATTTTGCCTGTCCAAGGAATTTGTTGAGACTGCTTGGACACAGACACTCATTTCAGCCCTTCCCGGGCCGTGTGAGGAATTCACAGAAGACTGGTGAAACTCTTTGTGTGCGCATTGCTGCAGGGGAGATTGATCAGGGCTCAACTGATCCAATACACAATTCCCTGACTGTGAACACAAGGACATAAAAATGGCCAGACTCGGTCAAACCAAAGGTCCATCCAGCCCAGTATCCTGTCTTCCGACAGTGGCCAATGCCAGGTGCCCCCGAGGGAGCGAATGGAACAGGGAATCATCAAGTGGTTCCTCTCCTGTCATCAATTTCCAGCCCTGAGCATTCCTACCCATTCTAGCTAATAAGTATTGATGGACCTAACCTCCATGAATTTATCTAGCTTTTTTTAGAACCTTGTTAAAGGCCTGGTCACAACATCCTCTGGCAAGGAGTTCCATAAGTTGACTGTGCGCTGTGTGAAGAAAAAACTTGGTGGATGCTCCATCACTAGATTTTTTTTTCTAGACTGTGTAAAACTCTCCCATAGACACCACTGGGAACAATCCTCCATATGGCGGGGAAGGAAGGGCTGGTCTACTGAGTCATTTCTATCTTGGAACAGTAAATGTAGAAGATGACAAATCCTAGTTATGTTGTAAATCCCTGCAAATTATGCAAGGCACGTGCAACACAGTGCTTAGATACTCTTATTACTTTTGCTTTTCAAGAAAGCGAATGCCACCTCCCCTGGTGCACAACATCCTCATGTCACATGGTTTTTTTACAGCCCTGAAAGGGAGCAAATAAAATCAGACCCCCTTCAATACAAAGAGCTGGCATAAAACCTCAGTGGGTGAAAGCCAGAGGTCCACTTGCTACTTAGCTCTGCTTTTCTTACCTCCTATTTAGCCTTTCAGACAGCAAAATGAACTACAACCCTTCGGGTGCGGGGGAAGGGGAGGATGTATCTCCAAAGACAATTTCTCGTCCCCCTTAGATGGGGTTAAGGATGTGAAAGGTTAACCGGAGCAGGGGGGCTCCAGTTCTGTGGGGCCTGCCACGGATGGAAGCTGCTCCAGATGACCGGAGCAGTCCCTTCTCCGTGATGAGCTCAGGCACGTCACAGGCAGGAGCTGCTCTGGCTTGGCTGCAGGGGCCCCGTCCGCCCCCCTTTAATTCCCTTTCACTAGAGGTTTTTAGGAACGGGTTGGATAGAGTTGTCGAGTTGGAAGGTGGCCTGGAAGGGAAACCAGCCATGCACTGGCCAGTCCTTTACTGCCTGCTCTCACAACAGCCTTCCCCCTTGTTCCTGCCCAGTGCCCTGCATTGTGGGAGCCAGCCCTATAGGGGGGTGGGGGAAATCTCTGAGCTACCCCATCGCCAGACCAGCACAAACACCTGTCCAGCTCCCCCTCCAGCAACTAGACCCCCTCACCTCCAGACACGTCCGCTGTTCACATGCACCCTGCATTCCCCAAGCCCTATCACACCCCCACCAACCCGCCCCTTCTAACTCTTGCTCCAGGCCCTGGCTCCAGTGCTACCCCTCCCCCCATGGGAGCAGTGCTGGGGTGAGGCAGCAACAGCTGTTGCCCCAATTCCCTGGCACAGGCCTTGGCACAATCCCCTTTCCTCCACCTGGAGTTCACTAGAAACCAGAGCCCCTGGCACCTGGCTCTGCTCTCTTGGGCGTGTGCAGGCCCTGGGGCAGAGGGAGGGGTGGGGTGAGCCTGGCTTTCCCCCAGTAACCTCACGGGCAAACAGCCCCAGGAGTGCAAGGGAGGGGGCTGCTCAGTGGCCTGGCCAGTCCCATCCTGCGCCACCACCCCCCAGATCCCCATTCCTACCCCAGAGATCCAGCCCCTGGGCCGGCCTCTGCTTCCAGCCCCTCCACTCCCTGGTCCCTACAACAACCCCACCTCCCCATCCCAGTCCTCCTCCCCCTGCCCTCTGCCCCCAGCCCCTCCACTCCCTGGTCCCTACAACAACCCCCCCTCCCCATCCCAGTCCTCAGCCCCCCAGCTCTGCCTCCTCCCCATCACACCCCAGCCCCTATCCTACCCCCAGTTCAACCCCATCTCCATCCTTAACCCCCCAGCTCTGCCTCCTCCCCATCACACCCCAGCCCCTATCCTACCCCCAGTTCAACCCCATCTCCATCCTTAACCCCCCAGCTCTGCCTCCTCCCCATCACACCCCAGCCCCAGTTCGACCCCCATCCTAGTCCTCAGCCTCCCAGCTCTGCCCCCTCCCCATCACATCCTAGCCCCTATCCTACGCCCAGTTCAACCCCATCTCAGTCCTCAGCCCCCCCAGCTCTGTCCCTTCCCATCACACCCCATCCCCAGTTCGGCCCCCATCCTAGTCCTCAGCCTCCCAGCTCTGCCCCCTCCCCATCACATCCTAGCCCCTATCCTACGCCCAGTTCAACCCCATCTCAGTCCTCAGCCCCCCCAGCTCTGTCCCTTCCCATCACACCCCATCCCCAGTTCGGCCCCCATCCTAGTCCTCAGCCTCCCCAGCTCTGCCCCTCCCCATCATCCCCCACCCCCAGCTCAACCCCATCCCAGACCTCAGCCCCAGCACCCACCGTCCGCACAGCTGCTGTTCCCCGCCAGCAGCTCCATGGGCTCGTTGCGGGGGGCTCGCAGCGCCCCCGGGTCTCCGCCGGGCAGCTCCCTCCTCGAGCGCCGCTGCCGCCGCTCCCTCTGCCCGCGCTCGCCGCAGCCGCCGACTTGCTCCGGCGGGGCGGGCGCGCACCTGCTCCCGGCTCCTCCCTCGGCTCCCGGCTCCTCGCGCCCGGCCCACAGCCCAGGGGGGAGTCTGCTTCCCGCCGAAAACCAGCGTCCCGCTCCCAGCTGCGTGTGCAAGGCGGGGAAAACGGGCAAAGCCTGCGTGTGCAAAGCCCCCCGTGCAGCCCGCGGCGCACCACACTGGCCCGCGCTGGCTGAAAAAGGTGACCAGGTGTTGCCCTGGGGGGAGGGGAGGAAGCGCTGGGAGGGTTCCCTAGGGTGGGGGTGGACTCTCCATCCCTAGAGGTGTTTGAGTCCCGGCTGGACACAGCCCTGGCTGGGAGGGGTGAGTTGGGGTCGGTCCTGCGTGGGGCAGGGGGCTGGACTCCCTGACTCCTGAGGGCTCTGCCCACCCTGGGATTCTAGGATTTTGTGTCACTTTCCTTTGCACTTTTGCTCACACTCCACACTGGCGGTGCAGCATGCTGGGTAGTATCAGAGGCAGGGGCGGATGAGAGTGCCACGGGGCCCCGGGCAGCACAATTTCACGGCGCCCCCCCCCTTGACATGGCGCATGCACGGGGCTTCCGCAAGCACAGGGCCCGGGGCAGCCGCTCCGCTCGCCCTGCCCCAAATCCACCGCTGACCAGAGGGGTAGTAGCCCTGTTAGTCTGGATGCATGCTGGGTAGGAGATGCCAGGTTAAAAGGAAAAAGTGTGACCCCCAGCAAAACTAGGGACAGCAGAACAGCCTTTCTATCCCATTTGAAATTCCTTGTGCCCCTCAGGAGCTGTGTCCTTCACCTTTCGGAGATGGCTTCTGAGGAGATGCTAGGTCCTGGATTTCTTCAGGACATGTGGATTTCTCCTTGGGGCTTCACCCCTCGCTTGTGTGTCTTAGGGCTACCAGGGAGAACTTGCACAAAGGGCTGTTAACTATGAGGGCCACGCTTGGTCAGTAAGTCTCAGAGAGGGAGCTGTGTTAGTCTGTAACTTTAAAAAGAAACGGGTAGTCCTGTGGCACCTTAGGCTATGTCTACGCTACAGGGTTTTTTGCCCGAAAACTTGCGGCGTGTCCACACCTCAAGCACATTCTTGTGCAAGTAAATTTACAGTAAATCAAAAGAACAGAGGGTTTTTTTGCAGTGTAGGTATTCCTCTTTCTACGAGGAATAACTCCTTTTTTTGAGCAAAAAGGTGTGTGGGGATGGGTAACGGGGTTTTTGCACAAAAACAGCCTATCGAAACAAGCACAGGTGCTCTGGTGGCTAGTCTGTTAATGGTAATCAGAGCTTTCTTTCGAGAGAGTGTCCATGCAATCTGTTGTGCTTTTGTAGTGTGGAAGATCTCTTTCGCAAAAAGCTTCTTGCGCAAGAAGCCTACAGTGTAGACATAGCCTAGACCAGGGGTCTCCAAACTTTTCAGCCCGAGGGCCGCATTAACTATCAAACAGCAGTTCGGGGGCCGACTACCTAATCCAGGGGTCTCCAAACTTTTCTGCCCGAGGGCCGCATTAACTATCAAACAGCAGTTCGGGGGCCGACTACACACTTGAGGTCCAAATAAAAAACAATCAAAACATGGATGTTGTTTTTAATTATTTATTTAATATTATTTTATTCAGTTATTATTTAATAACACATTGATACACTACACATGAACACCTGTATTAGTGTGAATGGTGAAATTGTTTCCTGGATGCCAAAATTGTTTCCGTAGACAAAAAGGTCTCCACGGGCCGGATGAGAGGGCCTCGCGGGCCGCATCCGGCCCGCGGGCCGTAGTTTGGAGACCCCTGGCCTAGACTAACAAATTACATATAGTGTCATGAGCTTTTGTGGGCAACACTCACTTCCTCAGATGAGCCAAGTGGAGAGAAAAAAGGGGGACCATTTATAACAGAAAAAGAAGGGAGAGTGGGAAAAAAGCCATTGTCAGTAGTCAGCAAAGGGGCTAGCTAGCCAGCGTGGTTCAAGCAAAGTGCAGCGGACCGGAGCTGAATACTTTCTGACCTGGCTGGGCGTAATATTATATCAGCCCGATGATTGGCTTACCCGGCCAGCTGCAGGGCCTTGTATTTACTGAGAGAGACGTGTACCGTGGGACAGAGATTAAAAGCAAACAAGAGGCTTGTTCAACAGGACTCTGGGCTAAGACAACACATGCACATCCGTACTGCAGAGAGTATCTACTCTTACCACAAGAGATTCCACATGCAGATATTCACCTCTGAGAGGGACCAGTTAGAAAGGCTTGTGTGGTACTGGGAGGATTTATTGTTAGGTTCTTAGTACTGCAGCAGGGCACTGGAAAAGCATTGATTGTGGCGTTAGGTGATGTTTGAAGGAGGAGAAGGAAGACAGACGTGTTCTAATTCAGCAATTTTTGGTTGAATTGCTGAATTAGGGGCAGGAATCATTGGGTGAAATTGATAGTCTGTCTTAGGCAATGCAGAAGGTCAGACTCAAGGAGTCCAATCTAGCCCCCCCATTTCTCCACCGCCTCCCCAGCCTTGAAATCCATGAATCTTTGACACTCAACTAATGCCGATCGAAAGGCTCTTCCTAACATGCACTTAGTTAGCAACACCAGGGGCAGATAATGACACAAACTGTGGGGCATCATTTCAATGGGGCTGCTAGGGCAGTTCGTGCGAGTGCATGTCTCATCATCCACCAGCAATGCGCTGTCAGGAGTGGAGCTAAGCAAAACACAGAAGAAAGGGATCCGCAAGCATTCCTGTGAATAAACATGGCCATTTCCTGCAGCAAGATTTACAGACTGTTTGTTCATTTCCCATAAATATTCCTGTTTGTTCACAAGAGCGTGAAAAGGAAACATCACAAGCGCTGGTGTGAAAAGGAAACATCACAAGTGCCGGTGCTACTGCATACATGTTCCTGCCACCAATTCCTTACGCCAGCTCTTCTCCTATAAAGTTCTAATCAACTAATCAGAGAACAGAAACAGTGCCCCCCCCATGATCTAGAGAATGTTACTTATTCTTCATGGGTAGTGAACACCGGTTAGTTACTTACATACCATTGTGATGAGCACAATGTAAAAACATAAAAGGATAGAGAGAAATAATCATAGCTCAGAGTTCTCAAGGAAAACTGTAGGCTGAATTGTGTTTCCTTTGACATTCATTGACTATTTTTGTACAGCGAATTCATGAGTAAGAAGTCTCGGGGGGGAGCCGTGTTAGTCTGGAACTTAAAAAAATCTTTGAAAACAATGAGTAGTCCTGTGGCATTTTAGGGTACGTCTATACTGCATGGCTATTTCGGGACACCGGAGGTATCCCAAAATAGCTACCCCGTGTCTACACAAGCCGTTCATTATTTCGAAATATTTTTCAAAATAATGGGCGCACTATTTTGCTATCCCGGTAAACTTTGATGCACGAGGGTTAAGAGATGGCTCGAAATAGCACATTATTTTGAAATTTGGCTCTGTGTATACATGCCAAATTGCAAAATAAGCTGATTCAAGATAAGATATGCAATTTGTGTAGACTAAGACACACACACAGATATATATATATATATATATATATATAGTATCATGAGCTTTGGGGGGCAAAACCCACTTCTTCAGATGTATGTATTTTTGTTAGTCTCTAAGGCTACGTCTAGACTGTGTTGCTCTTTTGGGATACTGGCAGTATCCCAAAATAGCAATGCCGCGTCTTTAAAAGCGCCCACTGTTTCCTGAAATAGTGGGTATGCTATTCCGGCATCCCTGTAACTCTTGAGGGTTAAGGGGGATTTGTCAGAATAGCGCCTTATTTTGAAATTTGGCTCTGTGTTGACAGTGCCAAATTTCAAAATAAGCTCTTTCGATTTAGACTCGGAATAAGCTACTCAGGTACCATAGGACTACTCGTTGTTTTTAAAAGTTTTTCATCAGTAAGAAGTGAGGTAAGTCTGTGGTCTGCAAACAGAAAAAGGGACTAGCTTTGCTGAACATATATTTTTCCTATGGCAAATAGGAAAGACACTCCCCGCCCGTTGATTTCCACCCCAGTTCTAGTTACCAGTGCAACTTAGCCACTGGAAGTGGGACGGGGAGGGTGTAGAATTCAGAAGAATTTGGATCAGCATTGCAACAGGGAGCGAGTGGCGTTGTGTGGCGTTGTGGATGCCTTCAAGATGATGAGACAAGAAGCAGAACCAGTTCAGCAATTTAAATAGAGGGAGGGGCTTGGACACTTCAGGTTTCTGTCACGGGAGCTGCTTACAGGAGCGTAAGAAGATAGGAACAGCCACACTGCGTCAGATCAAAGGTCCATCTAGCCCAGTGTCCTGTCCTCCGATAGCGGCCAATGCCAGGTGCCCCAGCCGATCCATTCAAAAGACCCCAGTTGTAGGACACTGATCGTTTAAACGCTCTCCACTGGCTTGTGAAATGACATTCAGGAAGGATGTGAGAAGAACGTGGGGGTGGAGATGTAATGAGTTTAGCCCCATTCGCATCCTTTTGAAGCTTGCGGCTGACGTTGCCAGTTTCTATCCTGCTTCATATCCACCACACAGAAGGGATGTTTCTAAATGCACGTGACACACCAACACGTGGTGTTTGATAACCACTTTCATATGGCCACGGAAATCTTGGACAAGGGGCCAGGGCCTTCAGCAGCAAACCTGGGCCTTCTTAGCTTCCCAGAGTATTTGATTTCTGCTCGTTTATTAGTGCAGTCCTACGTGCTCAAAGGCAAAGCAGAGTAAAAACAGTACAGTGATCACTTCGGTCATATTCATTTTTAATACAGCCTTGCCATGGTTTGTCCCACTTATCGGTGCAGAGAGGTAGGGAGTGAAAATCACCACAGTTGCACCACGATTAACAAATGAATTCAAAATGCGTTATGATGGGATTTGCCTGGGGCCAAAGGGAATTGGGCACCTAAGTGAATCTGTAGCCTAAGTTCCACTGACTTTCATCCAGACCTAGGCTCCAAGGCGTGGAAACGGCACAAGTATTTACCAGGGGTGGGGAACCTTTTTCCACTG